CGACTTCGTTGAATCGATCGTGGCGTGAACGACGAATCCGGAAAGGAGTTCGGTCGCAGATCAACTTCCCTGTCACTCTACCGCGGCTTTTTTCCTTCATATCAGACATCCTGTTGACTGAGTACCGATTGCGTGTCCTGAGTACCACCGTATGCCGTTTCAACCGTAGATGGAGAACATTCCATAAAAAAAGAGCAATTACTTTAATGCAGAAACATCGGCAGTATTACAGAGTAGAGTGTTATAAAGCGAAAATTAAATTTCAACAAATTAAGCATGTGATAAGCAAAATATAAATAGATAATCTTCTCTCTTATTCTGCTTTTTTTTCTTTCTAATTTTAACCGAATTTTATATTTGATTTCAAGAAGCCTGAAGTTTCAAGCATCATATACTCGTCAAAATATCGAAAATTGAAAAATTTTGACATTTAAATAAATTTCAGAGAACTCTCTTTTTTTCTTTACAAAAAAAGATTCTATAAAAAAGATCCTATATGTCTCATTTTGTAGAAAAAAATGTGTTCTGGGAAAATATATGATGTTTCTGGGACACGTTGTATGCAACAGGGAATGCAATTTATATAATTCTGCCTTTTTTCCCACCTCGTCATTTCCACTTCTTTGTCGTTATTGTTATTTGCTTTGTCATTTATGTTTTCAACAAAATATACGATGCTTTTCAATATACATTCTTTTTCTTGTTACATCGTTTTCTGCAAATGAGGAGAAATTGAGTCAGTGGATAATGAAAGAATGCTTGACATATGTATAGAAATTAAATTTTTTTCTTTCTTTCTTTCTCTATCTCTATCTATCTATCTATCTTATTACATTGCTCTCTCATTAATCTCTTTTAATACATTATTTTTCTATGTTACATTTTAATATTTTAATTCTATAATTGATGTTCTCTATAATTCTAAAGGTTTCACAGGGAATTAAGATTACCTAAACATGATAGGATTATATATTAAGATTAAAGACTAAATATTACTAAAAGGTTTATACAGCATGATTTCGCGAAAGTATAAAACAATCGTAATATTCTCTTACATACATACGGAATGAACATATAATACCTAATGAAGATTAATTCTTATTATCTAATCACCTACATTAAAGACTAATGATATACATATTTAATCAAAGAGATAAATTGTCTCTGAAAGCACTGTGATTCAGTTACATCTTGAATTATTTAATATACGATGATGTCTAATTGAGATAAAATGAGTGAATAAATCTGTTTGATACATATGATAATTGATAATAATAATCATCCAATGATAAAAGAAACAATTATATATACTTGCTATGCTTTACTCATTAAAAACTCTCATTGTCAGTATTAGTATACTGCGAATTTAACAGTTGAGGAATGCAGTCATTTGTCCTTCATGTAACTGTTAGAAATGAATAACCTACTAGGGAAGGCTTGGTAACAAGAGCGGTGCATGCCTCGTAAGGGGATGAAAGTTAACAGCAACAACAACACGATCCATTAGGTTCAGCGCGCAAAGCCTCTCGTACATTCAGCCGTTTTCTACTTGAGCGGATACACCTGTCGGGCGATGTGCTACCCGTGCACACCAATGCGAAATTCATTGTGTGTGAATTGGAGCATTTGCTGAAAGAATAACAGAGCAATCATTTCGATATACGTAAACATCGTGCCTGTGCCGTTAATTATACGACTTTAATAATTACATCGATATTTTTCATGTGTCTGCGTTAATTATTCGGCTTTATTATGTTGAATGTCATGATGTCATCGGTGATATAATACCAACGTGTCACGTTACGTGCAAACAAAGTGCAATTAATACGCATACACAGGTCTGTATTTTAAAAAAATTACATTTATACCGCTAATACAGCAAAATGATTAAACAAAATGCCTTGCAATTAGAACGTTAATAATTGTGTCACATTTCCTATAATTATTTGACGCCGATACTTAGAGTCAACAATCAAAACTGGCAATAAACATTTTCGGATAAAATTCCATTTTATTACCTTCGCTATTTCAGACTAAAGTAAAGAATAGTAGGAACTTATTCTTCTTTTAATATAATACATATTATTATTTTGAAATATTAATGTTCGGGTTTATTTCTAGGTATGTTATTTGAGTTTCTGGGGAATGTAAATCTTCGGTCCTAACAAAGGGCACCTGTCAACGTGAGGAATGCATGAATGTCTATCATCGCCTCCTTTGCATTAACGGGCGGTGACGTTCACCAAGATGTGAGGGTTGCATACTGGAGAGGAAGAGAGAGAGAGAGAGAGAGAGAGAGAGAGAGAGAGAGAGAGAGAGAGAGAGAGAGAGAGAGAGAGCGAGCGAGCTCGGTGGAGGCCAACCTAGTTTATTGATCGAACACACTCCGAGCACATTTGTGAGAGCAGATAACGCAGAAGGTTTCTCGCGATTTGCTTGTCAAAATCACCGACATGCTGCTTTTTAATGCGAGTCTTCCTCCGAGGCTCCCTCACCCACTCGTCGTTGCTCCCGTTCTTCGCCGGAGATGAGACGTTACAGGTGCTCGCGGCCGTTTGTGTAAGCACATGGGGAGGCTAAGAGTCGCTCGTACAAACGCTCGTCGATATCGGCGCTTGGCACGCGAGATCGTGTCGGCGTGATAGATCGCTATTATGATACCACCATTGCTTCGCGGGCTTTTGCGATCATACGGCAATCTATCATGCATCCGTGAACTGCGTAGATTGTACGATTTTATGTTTAATTCGAATCGAGAAGCGAGCGCTTTTGAAATATTGATCTATACAACACAAGAGTTATAAAAACGTCTAACTCGCATTTGAAAAATAAAGACGTCTTTTATAATATTAATATGTCAAATTGCGGACGTTTTAATAAACTCTTTTAGATGTCTTTGCGTTGCCTAAAGAAACGTTTTATCTATCGTGAAAGTGTCGTATGAAATGACAAATCCGATATTTCAATCGTTGGATATGCATGAACAGAGATTGTTACGATTTAAATTAAATTTTTGTTAGAGAATCCATTTTTAATTAACTAAATGAGATTTATTATTTTATTCGCCGAGAGCTTTCTGTGAATCTCCCTCTTTCCGTAATACACATACCTCGAACTCTATATCCATAATGAAATTTCTGCTGAGATTAGATGGAAATGTTTTAGGGAGCCTAATGGCAGATTGATTTGCGGGCAGACGAATCGTCGTGTGTCAATTTTGTCCTTTCATTAGGCTAATTACTCCCCAATCTCTGACTATATGAATATATCCTGAAGAGCCGTCCCATCTAACATCGAGATGTACCATTCCGTTCGTGTGATAAGCGGCGATCGATTTATTTTTAGTTTACCAATTTCCTGCGCGCCCGGTCGGACCATTTATCGTCCGGGTATCATAAAAAATAACAAAGGTCATTTATGAAGATAGACGGGTTCAAGTTCAGATGTCATATCATATATATGGCCCACTTATTTTCGGGCAGTTCTCTCGGCAACCACATGTCGATCGATTCGGTGTAATTCGGAGACGCGGCTCGTTTCCATTGCCAATAATTAATTGAGTGCAACAAGTAGCGCTAAAAAGAATTTGAATCGGGATAAGGGATTGCGGCAATCCTTATCTTAACAGTGCTTCTTACTCTTAACCTTTCGAGAAGGGCGTCGGCCTCGCGTGTAAGTCGATGTCAGTAGCCAGCTAGCTAACACGTGAATAGCCGCTTGCACGCGACGTTGATGAATATCGCGACATATCGTCTAACACACCGTCGCGCAAACCAAGGGTGGAATACGAATCGCGGCTGCTAGGAAATCGATGTCTCGGTTTCTTACTCTCGTGCGTCACGCACTTCGATTTATCTTCGCATTAAAAGGATATCATGATAAAATGTTACGTTCTGTCATAAGTATTGCACAGATGGAAAAGATAATTAAAAATACCTTACTTAGATATAAATAGAACAATCATATATGTTCAAATTAAACAGATTTATCTTTAACAAATAAAATCAAGAACTTCTAAAAAGATTAATTGATATTATTAAAAGTTAAGATTCATACTATAAATGTCCTTACACGAAATTTATGTTACATGTAAGATAAAATTTATGTTTAACCTATAATAATTGTTTAGCATTTAAAGGATTTGAAAATGATACTTGCATGTAATTAATAATCACATTCGATACTGAGATATCACAACCCTATTAAAACCCTATTAAACTACCGAAAACTGATAGCTGCTAATTATACGATCGGAAACTCGCTGCATCGGATCACTTGTACAAACATCTTGATTCTCGATTTCAATTTGACCTTATATCAAATTTCAATATGTTAGCACTTGTATATCGTGATGTAAAAGAAAAATTGAATGTTTAAACAAATCGCGAATGTAATAATGATTGAACAGTATATTGAATATTTTATTCAATATTGTATATTCGTCTGCGCCATTTTTTTCTATGCGCGGAGATTAGAGACACGTGATTAGATGTAATCACACAACTTGTCTGTTTAAATTGGCATGCTCAGAAACGCGCTGCGAGAAACGCGCGATATTTAGATGATAATCACTTGGCAACGACAATCAGTTCGCTGTTTACGGTGATCTGGCTTTCATCGATCGACGTCAGGAAAAAATTGTGCATTGCCATAATAGGATTACATGTGCAATTATTAATACCGATTGTATTCAATCAAGACAAATGGTTATTTAATAAATACGAAAAAATGTCTGTATTTTAACTGCTCGTAGCAACATTTCGATGCTCAGTATATAATTTTCATGCAAATAATGGCGATGAGAATCATATTCATATATTACAGAAATTGAGAAATATTTATTTACAACATAAATGGTTAGAAAGGAGTTAATGCATAATTGAGTGCGAGATATTTCTAATAGGTTTCTCATATACTTTTACAGCCCGCTCGCAGTCTGTTACCTTTAATCAGCAAAAACTGAAAAATGCCTAGTTATCTTTTCCTTAACAAAGACTCACGTGGTTCGAAAGGGTGAGCATGATGGTGATCCTCCTGAACTGCATCACGCTCGGGATGTACCAGCCGTGCGTGGACGACCAGTGTGTAACGAATCGATGTAAGATACTGCAGGTACGTACTTATATCTCGCGACAGCTGTTTGAAAAAAGAAAAAAATGAATGAAGGAGAGGAACCGGCGTAATCCGCGTTATCGCATTCGGATTTAAGAAAGCGAAGTGTAGCGTATCGGATTTATTTAAGTAAGAGCCATTTCCATAAGAACGGCTCCCTTCGCGATCCCGAGTATCGCATTTGCATATTCGCGTGCCAGGGAGAAAAGTCCGATATCGGAATAAGAATATTTAAAATTCCATTAAGTCAACTTATGGAGAATTTTCGCGTGAAGGCAGCGATTATACGACGCGCTGTTAAGCGAGTTAATCGATTATGCATCTTGACACGGTTTCCGGCCGGCTCGCAATTAGTCTAGCGGAAAAGGTGGCGGAAAAGAAGGATGAGGAGGAGGATGAGGATGGGATGGGATGGGAAAGAGATGAGAAAATTACTGACATGGTACAGCCGTTAATCGAAACCTCTAATAGAGTGCGCTAAATCAATCATGGTGAATTACGCCGATCATACTCGGTTTTAATTAAGTCCTGTCTATTTCTTTCAGATGTTCGATGATATCATTTTTGCCTTCTTCTCCTTGGAAATGACCATAAAGATGGTGGCGATGGGGATTTACGGTAAAGGAACTTATCTCGCGGATTCCTGGAATAGATTAGATTTCTTTATAGTGGTGGCTGGGTAAGTATTTCATCATTCGAATTCATTAAGTTTTCTAAGTTTCCGAGAACTTGTCGTGTTTCAAAAAGTTTTTGTATAAAATCTGCGAAAATCTGCATGAAATGCATTTACGATAGATAACAATATGGAATAAAAATACATAACTTCCTAGCAACAATTGTGATAATGTTACAATAATTATAATAATCAACTGAAATTATTTTACGTTTATAATATTTTATATATTTTCTGTTCAGATTATGTGAAAAATATATTATTATATTTTTTAAATTTCTCACAATTTAATTTCTCTTAAAATTTAAATTCAAAATTCTTCCTAACTAATTACAAAAAAATACTAAAATTACAAAAAGATTTTACTGTAATAAATTATAAAATAAATTGTAAAATAAATGTTAAAAAAGATTAAAAAGTGACTTGGTTGTAGCGCTTTCGAATACTGCCTAAACGTGGAAAATATGAATCTGTCAGCCATCCGAACGATAAGAGTATTAAGGCCATTACGAGCGATCAATCGAATACCAAGTAAGTAGTGAGATCTTTGCGATATGTCAGAAATTTTGACAGTTAACTCCAGTTTGCTTCCGTCTTCGATTTCACGGTGCATTGCCAGGTGCATAACCATCTCATACAAATCGTAACGCATTCACAGTTGATTTCATATTGGAATTGAAACGTGGCGAGGGTAGAGGAGTACATATAATTATATTAAACAAGAACGAGTAAAGTTGCCAAGAAGAGGCATTTATGTAGCTACAAACGTTAAGATCGAAATTCAAGGATGAATTTCGCGTAAGCGCGAAATATGTACACGCGTCGCGGAACTCACGACCTTAATTTTAATAGCAGATCCTTCAATGATCAATGTGTACATATATATTATGTCCTGATTATTTTACCTCCATACTATCAAGGCATTTGAATCGTTTTTTAGAAAAATTTTATACAAGCTATTTTAAGGCAAAATTGAATAATATAAAACTTTATTATGGCTTTAAATTCCTTTCTCTGAATTTAAACGTCAGTGATTGAGATATTTAACGTTAAGATGCTAACCAATTTTTATGAATAATGATTTCACCAAAAACTAATCTTTTTTTTAATAAATAGCATAGATATTTGTCAATATGCTTATTATTAAAATTAAAATTAAAAATTTGAATCATTCCGTGTAGAATATATTTTCAATTTATCGCGTGTATTTGTAACAAAAATAAACAATCAAGATAACATTAAACTATTCTTACCTCGGATATTGAAATAGGCCGGTATTCATAGTCGGTTCTTATTTCAAGACCGTCTCAAGTAATGTCTTAAGATGCTAATACGGCTCTGTTATTGGTTCATAACATCTTAAGATTGTACTTAAGACGCGGTCTTGAAATAAGAACCGACTATGAATACCAGCTTATTTCAGTATCCGAGGTAAGAATATCCGCGAACAGAATCGATGTTGCATTTGTTCAATAATTCGATAACGAATTATGATGATAATTACACATGGCATTATACATTTGCGTGTTATTAATCGATTACGAAGTGTTATTTTCACGAACACCTCCAATAGGTATGCGGATACTGGTGATGTTGCTGCTCGACACCCTTCCCATGCTGGGCAACGTCTTGTTATTGTGCTTCTTCGTTTTCTTCATATTCGGCATTGTCGGCGTGCAGCTGTGGGAAGGCATACTGCGTCAACGCTGCTTCCTCAAGGCTCTGCCCAATGTCAAGTATCCCGAGTAAGTCGGCGAGAATCTTAAGTTCCGCGGACTATTTGTTGACTAATTTTTTTGTTTATTATTATAAATGTCCGACTCCGATTCTTCACGTTGTTGCGCCTCACGCTGCATTGCATTTTTTCTCCTCTGTCTGTCTTTCGATTGCTATGCAGTTTGAAGCGCTCCGTCGCCGATTGTCGCATTTCCGCGAGACGGCGAAACATAATAGAACTCAATAACTCACATTCGGCAATTCGGCATTAACTAGGAATTTTTTTGCGACATCGCATATTCTGTACATACATCGTAAAGCATCGCGTTCAGCGCAAAATAGTCTCTCAATTTTAGCAATTTCTATCTAAGGCTTATCGTAAAAATGGTGGATTTTCAAGATCAGCATTTCGAAGCACTTTCGCTTTTGTGTAAAAACTTTGGTCTGGGAGCTTTTGCAATAACATACGACGGAATACAGTAAACGCTATGGCCCCACGTGCGAAACGATCAAGAGGAGTGATTTTCATTTTACATGAGGCATATTTACGTTTACCGTGTTCAAAGCATGCTATTGCATATAAAAAAGTCTATTACTCTGCGTACGCAATTTTTTGCTCGACAATTTTTTGTTTAGATAGAATATTTCTATTTGACACGGTTGTAATTTGTTTACGTCGCCTGCGAATGGGATAATCAAAGGTTCGAGAGCGCGGCGAACCAGCCGCATACGTGAACGCGATTCGGCATCGAATTAATGACTTGGTCGTGCGTTTTCATTGGCGCGGAACCCAATTGTAATCTAATATATCCAGATTGCATGGCGAGTAGCTTCAATTGTCGCAAAGCATCGCTTGCCGAGTTTTTCTTGCTGTAAATTTAACGCTCTGTTCTTCCTTCGCTTTCTGTCTTTCGCCAGTTCTTCTCTGCGCCAGTACTTTGCGCTCGATCCGCTTCCAGACGATCGATATTTGCTCAGAATACAGTGCAAATTTCGTAATTCATGCTCACTCCGCTCGGCTTATCACGAAACTACCCATAAAATGTAATCTCAAACTTGAGATGGCCGCAACTTAACGAAAGTGGATAATTAAACACTCTTAAGCGTCGTCTACAATGGCAGCACGAGTATACAGTAAGACGTAAGCAGTAAGTTATTGACTATAATGGGATTTTTACAATCCAAAAATAATCGACTGTATGGTTGGTCAATAACTTACTGCTTACGTCTTACTGCATACTCCTGCTGCCATTGTAGACGACGCTTTATGGCTCGGCTACAATAGCCATAAGAGTATGCAGTAAGACGTAAGCAGTAAGCTATTGGACCAACCACAGATCGATTATTCTTGGATTGTAAAAATCCCATTAGCCAATAGCTTACTGCTTACGTCTTACTGCATACTCTTACGGCTATTGTAGACGAGCATTTTAGACCTTACTTATGTAATATTGCGTTTATCGTAAATAACAGAAAATATATCATGAATAATTTATCCTACACTTTTTTTCTTATATTTCTTAAATATTATTCTTTCTTTGCGGGATATTTATTACGTTTTTATGTCCTATATATGCGATATCTAAACATAAAAAATAAGAACAATTAATTTCTCTTAACAGTATTTTTTTATTGTTGGTAACTTGTTTAAAAACTTACGCGACTAGTTGTTGACACAAGACAAGTCTTGACATAAAGGAAGATCTGTAACTATCGAATATAAAAATTTCTAGCTATGTTTCTAAATAATAGTTGTAGCAGCTATTTTTTAAAACTATTTTTCTAAATAACATTTATGCAAAACGTAGGCACCTTTTTTTGTCACATGAATAATTTAGTATGTGGCAATAATCGACCTTATTCTATCGATCCTAACATATAAAACCTAACATGTAAAACCTTTTTCAAAGTAAATATAATTTTAAAAGCATATGACACTTACAGCGACCTTTCTGTCAAATGTTCGGATATCGATTTGAGATTGTTGGCGCGTTCTAGATGAGAAAGATATCATCGGTGGCGAAAGGGACCATGAGAAGTTCGTGAAAAGCCCTGGATGGATCAGTATGTTCTACTTCCTGAACTTTTGCTTTACAGGAGTATATCACGTTAGGCGATCCGAGACATTCTTCTTACTCTTCTCCCTCTTTCTCTTTCTTTCTCTCTCCTTTTTTCTTTCTTCCTCCTTCTTCTGCTCCTCGTGACTAAAAAAAAAACCTAGACATGTAAGTACATGACCCCAGGGAGGCAGTGACAGGCTATTGTTTCGCTGTTGCAGGTTACTCTCGGACGAGTACTCGGTTCGATCACGCATTTAGTAAGCTCTAGTAGAGAACAATGTGCTGTACATACATATATATCTTTCTCTATCTCTATCTCTCTCTCTCTCTCTCTCCCTCTCAATAACACATACCTATATAAATCACAGAGTATACATACACAGCATCCATATGTACATATATGTATATAAATGCAACCATACGTGATGTGCATATGTATATATTATCTCTCTCTTTCTCTCCCTCTCTTTCTCTTTCTCTTTCTCGTTCTCACTCTCCTTTCTATCTCTCCCTCTCTGTCTCTTCCTCTCTTATCTCTTCTCTCTTAACCACTGTAACAGTGTGCGATTGTACCGTAGTATGTACTCACATAGAGCATGTCGACTCGACCGACAACGAATGAAACACTATTTCGTATACTGGCTGCCGATCGAGAAGACGATGAGTCCGAGATCCCCGAGAGCGAGAGAAGAGATCAACCCTCCTAAACTTTGAGATAATATTTTAGTGTCGGGGCTACTTCACCATCTCCTGCACACTTAATCGTTTTAGCACCGAGACTCTCTCCTCAATACACACGTTGTACATAAATCGCGTGGTACGCGATTGGGAAAGCGGGGATGGAGGAGAGATCTGTAATTTGTGGGCGACCCGGAAACTCTACATTTTTCTACGAGATTACTCCAACACTTCGGGATCTCTTCGGCTACTTTGATGCACGAGTCGATGTTCTTCCTCTTCTTTGCTCTGGGCATACCTTTTTTCGATTCGCGCGCCTCACTCTCACTCTCACTGTCTCCTTCACACTCTCTGCCTCTCTATTTTATCCTTCCTCAGCGTGTGTCTAGTCGGTAAGCGTTAACGATGCTTTCTGCATATGTGAACTATCGATGTGTGTGTGGCATCGGTGATCTCTGTGGTTTCACAACATCGCACCGCTTTCACGATAGCATATCCTTCCGTTATATACAGAGCGTCCCGAACGATCCATGCACCCACATAACGAGATTTTTGGTCCATAGATTTGAAGTTGACATTTACTTGAAATGGAAAATTTCTCTAATTCTTTATAAATCAAGAGAGATCAAAGCTTCAACATTTTAAGGAAGGATGGACATTATTTTTTCCCCAAGGATTTCATTACGTGAGACATGGACGCGGTATCACGGACACTCTCGGTATCAATGACGTTGCTGTCAATGATTATGGAACGAGCCGAACTCTAGATTTTCACGTCCGCACGTCTCTGTTCCCGTTCGGACCGTACAATTACGATACGTTTAAAGAACAGGAAGCTTCGTCGCACATTTCAAGATCCTAGATTCATACCTGCGCACCCGGGTGCCCCGGAGTCATTTTAATTCCAAACTCACATGGCGCGATAGCGCAGCAAGAGAAGTAGGCTCCATAAAGCTCCAAGCCCAAGCCCAGAGAGAGCTAATTAAACGCGCGGTGCTCGCGCGGTCTATTCCGGTATACGTAGCAGCTATTTTCGAACGTTTATCGACTTCTGCACTGGCGTTGCGGCCGTTCTCGCGTTCTGGTAGCGCAGCGCTGGAGCCGCGCGGATAGCGATGGCCCTGGAAAGCGATCAATTCGTAATTTTTTAAGTATCGCTACTCGCACAGAGCTCGCTGCCAAATACGCTCACAGATGTACAAAACGATCAGATTTTTATAATTATGATCCCATAATCTGTAGTCATTTTTGCTCTGGGAGATAAACATTATGATGATAATAGACTAAGTGGTGTACTCTAAATATAAAAATTAAGATTGATCGTTTGATTGAATTTAATTACAATTATTTCCATGTTTTTTGTGCAGCTTTTTTATAAAACTTTAGACATCTTTTTGGAATCATTTTACGATTATTTCCAAGTTAAATTAATTTCGCATCAAAATACAAGCACGAAAGTTTATTGCAACAAAATCGTGACAAAGTAATACATTATGGGGATTAATATATTGTTTAAAAGTAGGACATCCGGTCACCTTATAAATATATAACATATGAGAGGATCTAGAACGATGGGCACGATCAGCACAGCGAGCACAAACGTGAAGCACACGCCTATGCCGCATTAAAGGCACGCAAATTAAGGAGAGCACAGGCGATCACGTGCACACCGCTAATTAAGCATACATAGCGTGTGTTTGAATAACGTAAAATTATGTCGCATTATTTTAGCAAGTGTAACGCTCCATAATGCACTATTCCTCTATCGCTCCATATTTTTTTGTTCGCGATCAATGAACTTTATTATATAATACTATATATTTTAAATAAATTATATCAAGAAATGTGATATGTCAGCATGACGCTGTTAGAAAATTTAAGAATTTCAACGCAAAGCTGGATAAAGTGCGAAGTGAAATCAATCATCCGATTTTAACGGGATTATCAATCATGACAACGTCTGAGAATCCAGAATAAAAGACGCCATATTGCGATAGAGGAGTACAATCGAGCTTAGAGAAAGATGGCACAGTACCGTTTAATCCTAAAGGACATAGCATAAAATTATGAATTGTCCGTGAAACTTGAAACGTCACGTATATTTACCCATATTTCACATTAATATATTCAGGATTATATAAACCTATTAACCCGCAAATGAAAAAGAGAACGTTATCAATTTTATTTTCTGATTCTTTTTACATTTCAATATCTAATAAAAATATCAAATAATTACTTGTCTAATAATAATATTATTAAGTAATTACTTATCACTTTGCCATTTATATTAAATGATATCTGATTCGCGACCGTCTCTCCGGACATCGAAGCTCAAATATCCTTCGGGGACTTTTTTTTAAAAGCAAAAGGTTTCGTTTACGTGGCTCGACAACGGCGTAACTTGCAATCTTCGAAGCTAGGAACGACCGTTCATTTTCGGCATCCATGGTATTGCCGATGCGATAGTTCGACGCGAGGAACGCGTTAATTGTGTTTCTTTTCGCACCAGCCGACTATTTTCGGCGCGATACCAGCCGCGTGCACGCAAACTCGTGTCGGTATCCGTACATCTGCATTTGCCTATATATTTCTCTCAACCGTTGCGCACGTACGTTGTACATCAGCATCTATATATACGTGTACGTATATTCTATACTATACGAGGTGTCCGAGAATCATCGGACGAGCTGTCGGACCAGTGATATAAACAGAGTCGAAAGTGTAAGCATGACAAGGCCGATGTGGGAAACGCGCGCCCGATTTCCCGAACAACACGCGCTTTATTCGAAGCAATCTCGGTACGAATACTGTGCGTTAAACGTGTATCGATCAGTTTTGCGAATCAATGCCACAGCCACGTCACGCTGACAATGATTTGCGCGTTGTAGGTCGTTTACGATTAGTCTTTATTCGTATATATGCATATACATCCTTCAGATCCTATAGCCCGGGAAACTCCGATCGATCGCATTTACATATTTTCGGTTAGGTTCCCGTATACCCATTTACACAAAAAGCCGCACTGGAAGCTCCTCCGGTAATTCCATGACCCTCTGAATATTATATATTATGAATATATGAATATATATATAGAACGAATTACTAAAAACCATCACGAAATAACTTCTTATTATATCTCACAATTTGGTTATACAATTTCTTTTTTTGGAAAAATTGTGTATCTTCTATTAAAATTTAAAATTATTTAAATCGTACATATCATTCAACTTGTTTTTTTATTATTTTCGACAAAATCGCCGCAATATTTTTAAATATTACGAGGTTTACCAAAGATAAAACTTGCCTGATGCATTATTTTGTTTCAAATATTTATTTAAGTTAGTGCATATAAGAAGTTATTTTAAACGACAGTTCCTAGTGACTTGTCCTGTATATATTTACGCTATATATACTACCTATATATTATATCAAACACGTTCTGCATACCTACATACAATGTACGCATAAAGCGAAGCATGCGAAGAGTGCATCCGTGCATAATAAGGCATATGTACGCAAGTCTTTAAACTTAAGAATCTATCTATCTCGTGGAGATCAGTGTGCGTAAATTTTTAATCGTCGCTCTGTTGATTTTCCAGCGATCTGGAGAAGTATTTCGAGTATGGGGGTCAGGATTACATTTGTTCGCGTCCCGACGACAGTGGGATGCACCTTTGCAGTAATCTGCCGCCTCTCAAACTCGGTGAGTACGTCAAAAAATTTCGGATAAACTTGCAAAATAGCATTTAATAAAATAAATGCGCAGTTTCATAAATTTAACTAACTCTCTAACAATCCACGTAGAGTTAAATAAAAAATGCTTTATGCAAGATACTCCAGAATTTTTCTTTACTCCGAGCTCCCCAATATTTTGAATCCATCACGTTATCGCACATTCGGATAATTGATTGTTTTATCACCGTAATCGAACGCAACGGCGTTTTTCGCATTCAGGGAACGTGGTGTGCAACAGTACCGCTGTGCCAAACAGTAACGTCACGTTCATCAACAATGATACCTGCGTTAATTGGAACTACTACTACACCGAGTGTAAGGGCCAGGGCAACAATCCATTCCAAGGAACAATTTCGTTCGATAACATCGGTCTCGCCTGGGTCGCCATATTTCTTGTGAGCGCTTTAGTTACTCGTCCTACATTCGTTCAGAATAATTTACGTATGCATGTATACGTGTACTCGAACACGTACATGCGGCACGGAATATTTCTCCCATCTATAAGTAAAATACTTTTGCGGCGCCCGAAAGTCGATGGATACGGATCGCGCACATTAGTGCCAGGAAAAAAATTACGCTATCGACTATATTACGGACGAATTGGTTTTCATTCGATAAGACGTTATCGCGAATGAGTAATGTGCGAGCTGGAAGGCTTCGTATTTCTATATGGTGAAAATGTATAAGACTTCATTCACAATGTATTTCCTCTTAACGCGTTTGTAGCATGTTTTTCCTAAATTAGCTTTCTTCAATTTTTAACGAAAATTCAGCCGTAACCTTTTTAATATCTTTAGTTCGTAATTTATTAATAGATTAAGTTTATTGCCTCATTCGTCGCTATTTCGCCGAAACGCTGAGTAGCCCAATCGTGTCGATTTGTAGGTAATCAGTCTGGAAGGTTGGACGGACATAATGTATTACGTGCAAGACGCCCACTCATTCTGGGACTGGATATACTTCGTTCTCCTGATAGTCGTGAGTACTCCATTTCCTACCCCAATTGCACGGCTAAGCGCAATATGTGAAACATAATATGTGCTGAGTAATATGCCTCTTTAAAATAAATTCTTTTTACAATACAAATAATGATAACAACCATCGTATGATTATATTCACGCCTTTAATGATCAAGTAGAGCGAAATTGTAATCTGATTTACGAGGAGATAATGAACACAATACATAAATATAAATATAGAACAAACGCGGAGAATATTATGAAAGAATTAAGGGCCTGTGAATTAAAAAAGGCCTGCGTTTGCAGATCGGCTCCTTCTTCATGATCAACCTCTGCTTGGTCGTAATCGCGACGCAATTCTCAGAGACGAAGAAGCGGGAAATGGAGAGAATGCGGCTGGAGCGCGCGCGTTACCATTCGACCTCGACGCTCGCCTCGTCCACGAATACTTCGGAGCCTGCTACTTGTTACGCCGAAATCGTCAAGTGGGTATTTGTCATCGTTGCACATCCTCCGAGGACGCTGTTCACGCGAACCGGATTGTTCCTCGTCCCTCATTCACCCGCGAAAACCAGCGCTCGTGCTTTACGATGGATGACGATTTGATGTCTTTTTTTCCAGATACATCGGCCACCTCTGGCGACGGGGCAAACGAAGACTGATGAAGAGATATCGCTTGTGGGTGTACAAGAGGCAGCAGAAGCGGGAGCAGAATCTACTTAAGGAACCGCAGAGTCAAGTACCTCGTTCGAATACTGCTGCTGTTGGACCGAATCGCGTACCGGGCGGTAAATAAATTTAAATTAAAAAATTGAATTAATTTGTAAGTGCTCGCGTGCGAATTAAACTAATCCAGACGCATTTTAATGCTTAAAAATTATTTTGTTTAAAACATGTCTTAATTTATAATTAGATATAAATAATAATTAAATATAAATATAAAACATTTTGTTTACACATAAAATATATCTAAATAAACTAAAATTTGGATTAAATTAATCTCCATACGAACACTTAGGGATTAAAAAAAAGGGAAAATTAAATATAAAACTTGAAATGGAAGGCTTAAAATTCCTACGACGCTAATATCGACCTCGAACTTTCGAAATTGTTACATGTTCAGATAGAAGACTACATCATGGGAGGTGTCCGCGACTCCTCGCCGCGCTAGAATATGCGGAGCAACAGCAGCAGCAACAGGCTACCAGTGGCAACGGCGGATCTGTCATCGATTTCGCCACGATCACATCCCCGACGCAATCAGCGGTGGCAATCGCCGCCCCCGTGACCGTCGGCAATAGCGTTGGTGGTAGCGGAAACCTGGGCTCCGCGCCTCGAGCCAGCCCCGAGGTTTCCGAGGCCGAGGCTTCCGCGAACATGTACCACAGATTGAGCGTCCATCGTGCCTCCTCCGTATCCTATAACGGAAGCGACAACGCCGTTGTGGGAAACGTGGCCGAGGCAAGTATACATATTATAGATATGAGCATGGATATGAGAACACATCACGAAATTTTTCACACATTAAAGACGAGCGGCGCAATTGAAAGTTCAAATAAAATATCGGAAAATAGTTTTCCAATAATGTATAATGGTTAAATAATTTATTTATTCATTTAACTAAAGTAAGATAAATAACGAAACGGTAAGTTTTGATTTTAGTATTGGAAGATTATTCATAACGTTATTTCGTTTCTCCAGTGGGCTCAATTACGCCGCTTGAGCTTTCGCTCTCTAAAAATATTACACTCGACTTTGATCTTAGTAAGCAACTGTAGGCAAGCAAAAACATTTTTGAATGACTCGTTTAGCGCTCTTCCCGTTAAGCTATTCTCTTTGCTGATATTTATCTTCTGCTTTATATCGATAGTAGTGTGTTTCATAGTAATTATACATGCTTTCCGTGTAGAAGAACATTAGCATTTTACGTTTTGTCGAGTTCTCTTCGACGGTAATAGAAAGTACGTTTGCACAAAAAGAACGGTGATTTTGAGCTTTAGGTACGGCAAGATATCGTGCATAAAGTTTCTTCCCTTAATGCTACAAGTTTGGGCCGAGAACGGTTACGAGAGAGAGCGCCTGTCGTAGTGTACAATATGCGTAACGTATGCTTGATTATCGCCTTTTAGACGAACAGCACGTTGTTGAGTCCACCATGTACGCATTATCGGAGAAGAAGCAGCGTAATGTTTAGCGACGTGGTACTGCTCCATGGCAGCAATAATGTCGGGAATGCGTTGCAGCCGGGGTTGACGGTGACACCGGGCGAACGTAACGTCTGCTCGAGCGAGAAGATGACACAGACGGGCGATGGTAACGTTTGGTCCAGTTCGCTGCCGGACCACGCACAGGTAATTTCCAACTGCCGTGATTGCTCCATAATTTAAAATGGAGGTCTCTTCTTTTCTTAAATAAGGCGTACTGCCGCAGATGCAAGCTGAGCTGGGTGGCAACGAGGCTATGACGTGTCAGGAATTGTTGGCTCTCAGCGGTGCTCTCAGCGCTGCTCTGCCCACCGGCCAGCTAGCACTCGATTCGTTTCTGAATTCTCTCACGAAAGGCAAGTTCTGTTTTATGTATAACGAACATGATTTATCATAAAACTGAAATTGATGAATTATTACGGATTCTTATCTAAACATGTTTCAAAGATCTTTTAGACTTTAAGTTATTCTTACATTCAATTTTCAGAAAGATTATAAAATGGAAATATCAAAACGATAAAAAATTAGTTTATAAAAATATTACATTTTTAAGATATTATAAATTTTGATAAATGTGAATGCTTTCGAACTATGATTCTTATTCCCTTACTAAATTTAGAAAATAATTGCAAACAGCTAATAAATTTTGAAAATGAATTAATATGCGTTTTATAGGTATAACAGATCGTCACATCACGTTGGAAGATCGCACGCAATGGTTGACGTCTGACGTTGACAATTGTTCCTGTTGTTGCGAGCTGCAGGGAGGTGATCAGTGGCCGGACGACGGTGAGAAGTTGCAAAAGTCCTCGCGGCCTAGACGGTTTCTGAGACGTGCCGGTAGCTGTTGTATCTGCACCTTACGCTGCATGAGACGGTGGATCAAGAAACTTGTCGAGCACAAATACTTTCAGCAGGGTATTCTACTAGCCATCCTCATCAACACTTTGAGCATGGGAATCGAGTATCATAATCAGGTGATGCCTCGAACCTGACTAAACATTACTTCGATGCCGCTTCGGATCTTTTTGGCGTAGGGTCAAATTTTTGATAGGAAAAACTACTGTGTAATATTATCGCAACTAAAATAAAGATAATACTTCGTAAAATGTGATTACTAATTAGGATTATGTTATGTGTACGCAGCCGGAACAATTAACGGTGGCCGTTGAGATAAGCAATATCGTATTTTCGGCAATCTTCGCAGTAGAAATGTTGCTTAAGGTAATAGCGGAAGGTCCGTTCGGTTATATCAGCAACGGCTTCAACGTTTTCGACGGCATCGTCGTCATCCTGAGGTAGGGTAATTTTCTTCATAAATTTTTATATATCATATATTATCATATAAAGAAATAACAGCATTCGTACGTAAATGATAATATTAAATAAACATCATGTACGTAGTACTGATGTCTTGTAAAATACATACACACACACAAAACTGTCAGCGCAATTCCCTCAATCTTATTTCGATTTTACGAGAAAGCCATAATGGATGACGGATTGTTGTGGCTGTCTCGTAAAATCTTTCACGAACTGATCGTCTACATCGAGCTAACAAACGATATTGCACTTCTTGCAACGTATTTACAGCGTCGTCGAGCTCTGCCAGTCAGTCATAGAGGGCCGCGGTGGTCTTGGCGGTGGTAGTTCCGGTCTGAGTGTCCTACGTACCTTCCGCCTTCTCAGGATCCTGAAGCTGGTGCGATTTCTGCCCAATCTACGACGACAGCTCTTCGTGATGCTGCGCACCATGGATAATGTTGCCGTATTCTTTTCTCTTTTAGTACTTTTCATCTTTATATTCAGGTAAGTCGCCGTCTTATCTTCGTCCGCGTCAGCGATACTGCCGGAATACCGGGCCTCGGGCCCGCGTCGCCGGATCTTCTCTCCGTTTCCGACTCTCTGTTTCTTTTCTCTTTTTTTTCTTGCGTGTGTGACCGCTCTCCCACTTCGCGAACCAGTATCATCGCCGATGAGATTAATTCGATGAGTCCAACCACGAGGAAACCGTTCGACCGAACCTACGCGTCGCGGATACAGGGCGCTATCGCGTCTTCCTGTTCTAATTATCATCTCATCAGCCTAGTAACGTTTGCATGTCTGGCAAGGCGGATCGAAGTTACGAAACTGCCGATAGGTATTGTCAAACCAAACAAATTGGGCAAGAACTTTGAAATATGAAGCGTCGATGACGATAATAGCCATTGATTCTAAAACAAGATAAAATATCTGGCTGGAAAAGTTACAAAAGAGCTCAATGGACTTTGTGTGTTCCATAATAATATTTATATTGCTTTTGGTGATAATGACGATAGAAGCTATGTTTAATAGTTAAATTTTATCCATGCTACTCGGTTGTTTTATAAATATAAAAATATGATATCAACATTCTTATAATCCTCTTTAAAAAATGAGAATTTAAGATGGATATTAAAATCCTAAATATTAAAAAATTCTCATATTTAATTTTTTTTATTTAAATACTATATATATTTGAAAAAACATGTAAATTCTCTCTGAATTAAAAATTTCTATCTTTGTTTCTTTGCGTTTTCTTTTATTAATAATTCATTGAGCATTACGTTAAATTTAATTATTTACATTCGACCATGCGACAATTTCGTCGATGCTCGATATTTCAAAAACGGCTTCTTGCTCGCTTCTACGAGCTTTCGAGCTTCAGGAACAAATCGCGCGCCGCTGCTCTTCGAGGCCTACATTAGGTGACTGTCTTCCGTTCACATATCTTTCTCTTCTACTTTATTCGCTTTTACTTTATTTCCGCGCGGTGTATGAGCCGCCATCAGTTAATGCATATCACATATCTATATATATATATAGAAGTTTTCAAGTTTTACCAGCAATTGTCCCGTGTTCTCGCGTCTCCTAGCGTTTCTTTGAGCGGCATATTTTCTGACGTTGTTGGTAATGACGATGGTATTTGTTGGCACGATCTATTATTACGAGGGGGGAGCCGGTCTGCTGCCGGCCCCTTCTTTATGGCTTGAGGCATCGAACGTACTTTCGACGTTTATCTAGAAGATATATATCTATATATAAATATATATATACGTATATGGAATATATATTTACATGTGTGTGCATGTGATGCTTTTCTGCTGGACGTCTTAGCGACGAGTATGAAAGGCTATATGTATATATATATATATTTACTATCATCATATTCTTGATTTATATATTCATACACGTGAATCTCTCCCGCTGTCATTCTCTCTCTTGCTACTCTGAGCGCCTATATTAAGTGCGTGCGCCTCGGTGTGGCCCTCGATATTAGAACAGCTTGCGAATGTTCGACATATATTTCCCCCCTCTCTGCAGAATTACATATATATACATATATATATCTCGTCATGCTGCGTAGGATATCCCGCTATATACATCCGTGCGTTTACGACACGTTTTACGACCGTTCGATAGCCGATCTGCCGTCCACCGCAGCCGCAGCCCTCGCTATTGCGATCTCGATACTGCAACTGATTACCCGATATCTGCCGCAGACACGTAGACGCAAACATTGAAAATTTCGCCGTACTTGGATCAGCTTAAATAATTAATTAAACGTTTAAAAATAAAAAAATAAAGATTTTATTATTACTGAACGAGTTGAATCAGGAATTTTATTAAACACTTAAAATTTGTTTGGATTTTTTTTAACAGTCGTGATAGCAGAAGTATTCTTAAGCATTTCTCGGATTAAGATAGAATCGGAAACTGTTTTTGTCACGTATAATTTATACACGGATTTTTCGAAGAATCGTGAAGAAAAAAGCAAGAAGGAACATTCGCTAACGTCGCGCATCTCACTGACGCAAATCCGGATGATCCTTTCCCGTTCAAAACTCTCTTCAAGATAAAGTGAACCTTCGGAAGTGAATACAAAGTCGAAACTATGCAAATGCTCGCGAGTACGTTTCTGCGCGCCGATCCGTAGACATCTTCTTCGACGGCCATCTCTAGGTGTTTGCATCTTTCTTTAGCCACAAGCCGCGAATGAAGCCCCCCGACAGATCCGCTTTAGAGGAATTTTTCCTTTCTCGATCGGCCGGCGCTAAATAACGAAGTACTCACTATGTACTTGCATTAGGATCGCAAGCAAGATCCCGACTTACTCGGCCAAGGTTTCAGATTACGATGGACGACGAAAGTTCACTTCAAAATCGACTCAAGCTTTCTCGAGCGCTTTTAAAAATCGGTATCATCACTCTACAAGTTTTCCTTTACAAAAATACGCCATGTAGCCACGAACATTGTACGACGTAAAGATCGCAAAAAGATTTCGATCGATTTTGCACTTTCGTCGTATCACGAAACATACGATATATATAAAATGTCGTAAAATTATCGGATGTTCATTCAACCACAGATAAATTCAACATTGAATGTTATTTTTGGTGGGCCTTCTGCGAATTAGTTGATCTTATTAAGTAAACTTTACTGAAATAGATTTCTAATTTAGTATTCCTTCCTTCCTTCCTTCCTTTTCTCCCTCTCCCTCTCTTTCTTTCTTTCCAAGATAATTAATGTTTAAAGTTAAAAGCTTGTGACATTCTCCTAGAAAGTTTTCCCTAAAGAAAATTCCATCTACTTTTATCATCAAATTCATAGTTGAAAGGACATCCGATGGGAGTTTTAGAACATTTAAATATATACCTATGCATATATATCACATATATGCATTTTGAATTGATCAGTTACTTGGCCGAGTCATGCTTTATAAATCGCGATTCCGTCTTAATTGAGCTTTATTCCCCTCCTATCTCTATTTACTCTCTCTCTCTCTTTCTTTATCATTCTTTGTCATTTTTTATCTCAGTCTACGTATATATATATACATATATATATGGATAAGGAAGTACATTGCACGTTTCGTTGTGTTGTAGTATTCTCGGGATGAACCTGTTTGGTTGCAAATTCTGTGAAACGATGAAAGGCAGCTCTGACGTCGAGTGTGATAGGAAAAACTTTGACTCGTTACTCTGGGCTATTGTGACGGTGTTTCAGGTACCTACCAAAAAAAAAGAAAAGAGAAAGAAAAAGGATACTTTTTCACGTATCTTCTCGAGGGCATTTTTGACTTCTCTATATAGTGTATATTATATATTACTTATTTATTCGTGCATATATATTAACGTTGTACTACACCGCATCTACATATATATATATACGCTAAGTATACATACGTACTGTCACGTTTTTTGGTTTTCCGACAAGTTAAAGTCATGCGATCTCTCGTGCGTCCGCCTACACTTTATATGATTTCTGAGGCCTCAGGTAACGTATAACTGGGAGATAAGCGCTTTCCAGCATGTCGTCGTCATTTTTTCGACGGGACGGGAAGGGGGGAAAGGCAGGAGGAGGCTACCGGTACCGACTTTAGAAGTAATAGAGACATTAAACGAGGTATTATACAAATGTTTTCTTTTTTTTTCTCTGAGGGAGATTATTCTTCAAATCGTCTTCAGTATCTTTTACTTTGTGTGAATACATTGAGGAAGGGGATGGGAAGAAAAAGCTTGACTAGAGCCGGTGCTGGAGGCTCACACGTTGCACGCGGATTATCCGGTGTGCAGGGTTATCAAACGTTGCATACGATTGCCGGCGATGATTCCGGTGCTTCTTTATTTCGGGTTTATCTGTCGCTTCGCAAGCACAACGCGCGCGTGTTAATACGCTGCCTCCTGCCGCGTTTTCTGCGAACGCGTCGAGCTGGCCCCTTTTGGCATGCCTTCGCATGCATCTGTTCTCTCAGTGTGTCACAATGATAAGCGAAATTACCTGCATCTTACAAGTATTTCAAGGAGTAATTATCAAAATGTTCGGGCATATAATGAAAGAAGACAATGATATGATTTGTAATGATTCCGCGCGTAATATTGAATTCATTGATGAATTAATATATTGAACGTGTTTCTAGAAACTCGAGATTTTTGTAAGAATGCAGGCATTTTCGCTCAGGCATCGAGAAAACTCTGCTTAGACGCTTCGCATACTCACTCGCTTATCCCTGTGTGTCGACGGTTGACATTACTTTTATATCGATGTTATATTGATGTTATCAGAGTAGATGATTTAGTTATAATGTTCGTTGCGCCATCGGAATTCTTAGCAAAGTAGGAAACATCGAAGGTCGGTGTATAAAAATTCTGCCGATAGAGTCTCAAAACGATTTTGAATAATGGAAACGACAAGATCAAACTTCATCTAACAAAATCCTAATACACATACACGAAAAATCCGATCAATTATTTTCGTACGCGTTTATCACATATCATCGGACAATAAATATCCGTTACGCGCGTTCAAACAAGGAGCAACAACGCAAATAATAGAAACGTCTAAATTATGAAACGTCTAAATTATGACAACGGGATTCACTAGAAAGTTGAAAAGATACGGTAAAGTCCAAAAACAAGTCGGCGTTTTCTGGGCGCGCTTGGAATATTTGTGTTGTTTGACAACCACCCTAGGATCGCCCGGACACGCCATATCCTGCCTAAATGACACGGTAAATGGCTGTTCTAAGATTACACGGCGATCCTAGAATTGGCTTTTTGTCCTGGCTAATATATCAACGGAAATGAGACTCTTGCCCGGTTCATATCGGTGCGCGCGTTGCGCAAATTGCTTTGCATGCGATGTATCTTCTTAGGCATTTGTCGTCGCCATGTGTCGTCGTTGCTGTTGCCGTCGTCTTTTTTCGTACCGCGCGTATATATATCACACCTTGCTGCACATCACGTCTTCTCACGAAGATCGACATTCATGTACCTCACTACAGATATTTCTAGCCAGTTACACTGCTAAAAAGGAGCGTCGCTATCAGCGGCGACCGATCTCTTTGTACGTCGGTTTTCGTGACATCGCGGCGAGAAACGCCAACAGGTAGTCGCGAGAATCGCGTTCTCTGATTCTCTGCAGAAGCGAGATCATGCCGAGCCAGAGCAGCATTGTGTGCCTCGGCGTCCGTGCTTCTTCACACACTTTACCTATACGATAATTATCCACTCGAAATATACAATGAAACGATGCCTCGATATCACGTCACACATTTTTAACAGTGTAGCACAATAAACTGTTTTCTGTTACACGCTTACTTTTCTCTGTGTCTCCCACCTGTACTTCACTATACTTCACTATATACTTTACTGTACTTCACTATACTTCACCTCACCACTTACGACATTACACTTCTCTTCGTACTATCCTATACCTCTCTCTTTCTCTTCTTCTTCTTTTCTTACTCGTTCTATCCGTAACTTTTCTGTCACTTTCTCTCTTATAAACGCCCACGACGACTCGAGCGCAAAAAGAACTTCGTCCCGGGTTGTACAATGCGTGCGTGTGAAATATCGACTCGACCCGACAGGAGTATCGCCGCGTCAGCAAGTCCCTCATAATTGAACACTCGAAGACCCGAGATGAGACCTCGTGTCCATCGCACACGAATAACACAGAGCGTATTTTTACCTTCGATATAAACCAACACGGGTTAAATAAGGTACAACACGTAGATTTCAGAGAAAGCCGAATAACTAAACAGCTTTTACTCTCGTTTACCATTATGTTATCGCACGTATCTGCATCTATTTAAAAGTAAATACTCTCATTTGAAATTGTTTTATTATATATTTTCTTACTAATATGTACATATTTCGAAAGAGAATGCTTTATAGAAGTTGGATCAGATTTGATTCAGCTCTGGTAGCCTAAGTTATCAGATTATTATGACAGTTCCCGAGGGACTGCCAATTTAGTATATTTTTTAGTCGTAGTGGAAAGAGAGACACAATTTCTTTTTACATATAATCTTATAGAGATACGAGCCAGGTAGATCGCGCAAGGCACGTAATATCGTATTAACGTATCAGCAGTCTCGGTAGATTTGTGCGTACCTTTTGTAAATACTCGCTGAGACAGATTCGCCGTAATACATATTATACCGTATTTGCGTATTAGAAGATTATATATTTACGCTTGTGATACAATTATTCCTTTTTCCTCTCTCTCTCTCTCGCAAACGTTCGCCGTGACATTCTGCAACGGCAGGTGCCTGGTTTCCTCCACTATTCTCTTCTGTTCGCGGCCGCGTTCCCGGAACTCTCTTTCCGCCCCGTTTATTTTCACGCCAGTTTACATCCGTAAAGTGTGTGTGGATATCTGTCGACCCGCGGGGCATTGATTTAAAGCTCTCGTCATATTTGCCCGCGCCCCCGACTTTGCTTCTACGTCAACGAAACGAAATTCGCAAGACAAATCAACCGACAGTAATGCAACTGACAGGCTTGACAGATAATTCTTTTGCGGACGCGCCCGGATAACTGTTTGTTATGACTTCCGCGGATCAAACGTCACGTCGCGTTAAAGTCAATTATTGTTCCGACGCGCGTCCTAAAATTAGCTTTATTGATTGCCCCCATGAAACATTAAACAATTAATACGCTCGTATGACGCATTACGTCGAGAGATTATGTGCATACAAAATGTCTGATTTATATTGACGCTTCTTCGAGTAATTTCAGGGAGAGTTAAATATACTTTAATGAAGGAATTCTGTGATTATTTTTTAAGGGAAATAAATAATCAATTTTTTTTTTTTTTTTTGAAATTTTGGTTCTTGTTCCTTGCTCCGTCCCGCCGTATAAAGCCCGTTACAACCGCACACAGTCGATACGATCCGTCCACAATCCATAAATGTATACCTACTTTACACGCATTCGCCTGTATTGTTGCAAATATACAAGATACATATATTTATATATATATACTGACACGCCGAACTTGCAGAATGTGACTGTACGAGCTTCGAGTGACAGTCGTTTTCGCTGTTTTGTCCAACACAGTTGCTTAATCCCTTACCGATATGCAGTGCCTCCGTTCTCCATAAACCGAATCTGTTAAAACGAATTCTATAAATCAGTTCAGAAATCTCTTGATGCAAGATATAAAAGATTTGAAAAATATTAAAACTCAAAAATTACAAATCGTATGCTCTTAGGTAGTAGCTGAAAAATTTATAATTTGAAAAAAGAAAACGCGTTTTTGTGATACATTTAATTCTTTGGATATTAATTGCGTATAGGTGTGTAACAATATTTTATTCCATATTACTTAAAAATTTGTATGCTATATAGTATGGTTTAGCACGAGATATAAAAGTGTTAAAAAGTCGGATATTTATATCTGTAATATACATATATCTATTGGCGATGAATGGAAAAATCGAAAGAGTCTCGTATCGCACACACATATACAATAAGAGTTAAAAATAGACATTTCTCTTTGTGAAAGTATTTTTAAAATATGAGCTTTAAACCCCTAGATCGTTACTTTGAGCATTTAAGCACAAAAATAACGAACTGTAGGCTGAAACGAGGAAAAGCAATTTACTTAATAAACATTTTTATCGTGCATTCTGACAATCCAAAAAGTTAGCTAAAAATATATTAAACATCTAGAAAACAATGCGCTATTTTATACGAATTCTTAGAAAATAGAAATTTATATTTCTACCCGGGTACACGTTATAGATCACCAACTTCGTCGTGGTCGGCTGTCAGCTGCCAATTGATGCAAAAATGTTAGTGATCGACGTTAATGACGTCAACGTTCGTACAATATTCGCACTCAAATGTCACTGACGTAACAGAGAAGTCGTTACGACCGGATAAAAGTTAATCAATGATACTTCCTGCGTAATTAATTGAATAACGAGATTAGTGCGGTGAGAACGGAGACTCTGAACGGCGATCGTACCAAGTCCCAGTCCTGTCAACCACCGGTCCCACCTTCACCCCCACTGTTGATCTCTATCGCGGGGATACTTTAGGCCAGCGGATTGTCTCGGTTGCAGCATCCTAGGGATGTACCTGTTCGGGGGTAAGTTTTGCATGTGGGCGGACCGGAGTCGGCCCTGCACCTGTGCCGAGGTGGTCTCGCGGCACCCAATGTGCCGCTGTGATCGCAAACATTTCAACGACATCGTCTGGGCACTAGTCACTGTTTTTCAGGTACCACTGTTCCTCCCTCTCTTTAACGCTATTATATATATACATATCATGACGGTTTTTTTACATGTTTAAAGCGACATACACGTATATATGCGTAGCCAATTATTGCGTGTACACGGTCTTTTTTTCTCCTATCTATATATTATTCGTGTCCACGTTCTCTCTGTACAGATCGCCGGATCGTATATATATATGTATATATACATATATTTCTTCGTGTTGAGCAAACGGACCCCCGACTGTTCCCTAAGCCCGCCCACGCTTCGTCCATTCTTCTCTCTTTGTTATCCGTGCCGAGTGACAGAGCCTTTAATGGTTTGCTTTGTATTTACATGCGTGCAATCGGTATATACGTATACATGTCGACGTTCACGTTCATCATTATTCGTTTGCTCGCGCAGATCAAACTGCGCGATGACGACTCTACCCACGAGCGTGTTGTGATCTCGATTCAGCACACGCATCATCCATGTAAAGCAACTAACTAATATGCTGCAGAAACCGTTCGAAAGAGTTTCTGCCTTTCTATCACGTGTTTCTGTTTACATCTATGTATTCCACGATGCAGTCTGATGGCGTATCGATAACTTTCTAAATTTATCGCTGTGCAATTAATCTGTATTTCTTAAGTAATGTAAATAATCATTGGCACATCTCTGCGTTCATTCGAGATATTTGTACGATGACTTAAAAAGAGTAACGTTCATAAATGTTAATGAATATGTCAATAGTTGCATTTTAATTGTATGTATATATAATTTGATCTCATTCTTATGTCATTGTACGCGCAAAAGTTGTTTAAATTCGAATTTGGTGGAATAATACTAACAGAGAGAGCTACTATGATATATACTTTTTGCATGTAAATAACAATCCTACTAACGCAAATCGTTCGGTACGTTGAAACAATTTTCTTTGATGTTAGTGATTTTTTAAATTTTCAAACAGCGTGTAATATTATCAGGCTAGAAGGAGAAGTAGAAGATAGACTGGAGAGTTGATAAAAGATAGATAAACGAATACGTGGGTAGACACGAAAGCTCTCGCAAAGAGAAATTCGTGATAGAAAACATGACGCATGCATCTTTACAAAGTATTAGGACACTGGTTGGCAAAACGTTTTGCGTGTCTCTATCGAGTATTTGAATCGGTGTAACGCCAATTTGTTTTGTCGATCTCTCGCGATTGCACATATCCAAGTGATTTATTTAATAAAATTGATTTCAAGAATATTCTGCAAAAATAAATGGCTTGCCTCCGAATCTAGTTAATGCAAATTAAATCAAGTTATTTAATATGCTTCTGTGTATTTCACCGTTTAATTTCACATAAACGTAAATAACATAAACGTGTCTAACGTAATGTATAATTCAATATCTGAAATACTGTAATTAAAATTATTGACACCAACGTATTAATATTAATATTCTAACAACCAAATTGATAGATGTTATAAAATCTTTAAGTGTTAATGAATATACATTTATTGTATAGTATAATAATATATCATAATGTTGTTATAATTATTAATTTTATTATCGCAAACTCGTTACATTATTCCATTTGTTCAACGATTCAATTATTTGACCGTGTTCATTATACACAAATTCATTGCAAACACACATATACATATATACAGCATACGATTTAAATCTTTGATCAAAGACATATAAATTTTTTTTCATTCTTGAGCATGTTTTACTACATAAATTTTTACACTACATAAATTTTTGGCACGTTTTGAAAGAAAGAACGTCTTGCCGATCACGTGCCTCATTAATTAAATATAGACATTTATGCTATTTTATATGCAGCGGGAGTCTCTTCCCATTCCTCTTTTTATGTAGATTCTCACGCAGGAAGATTGGAATGTCGTCCTTTTCAACGGCATGCAGAAGACGTCCCATTGGGCTGCACTTTATTTCGTAGCGTTGATGACCTTCGGCAATTACGTCCTCTTTAATCTTCTAGTTGCCATTCTTGTTGAAGGTTTCTCGTCAGAGGTAGGAATTAGAAAATAATACACTAATACACTATTTTTCTTATTCAATGATATCTGATGTGTAATGTAGAAGAAGACACAAGAGTATACATAAATATGTGACATTTATTTAAGTCTTTCGATTAATATTAAAAATTTAATTTAATGACTATTTTATATTGTAAAGGGAATTGTCTTAAATATATTTATGTTTATGAAAATTTATTTCATAATTATATATACGCGAGTATATATGAAAAATATGATAACTGATGGTGTATTTTGCAGAGAAATGAGAGGAGAGAACGAGAGCAGAGAGAATTGGCGAAAAGACTCGCTGCAAAAGAGGCTGGAATGGGCAGCGAGGACGGATCGTCGAGAGTATCCGGATCACATTCGATCTCTGACAGCGATACGTATACTCAGGTAGTTGCTCGCGGTTGCTCCAAATAAATAAATCCAGTATTCTACGCTTATTTATTCTCCGTTATCTGTCACGCCGAGAAGATTGATTGCAAAGGTCACTCTGAATATTTTAGAATATTCTTTTCCCTCAACTTTCCCCGAACCTTTTATAGCAAATGATCGACATAATGCTTTATAGAGATTTATAAAATATCTCAAATATACAAGGTATTAATTAAATATGCGAAAAAATATGATTTCCGATTTTTTTATTATTCATTGTATTTACTGCTTATTTTTAGGGTGCGATTCACTTAGCGCTCCAAACGCTCGGAAACATTTCAGCCTTGTTGTTTATCAAATGTTAAACAAGGCCAAAATGATGCTCTGAAACGTTTAAAGCGTTTAGTGAATCGCACCCTTAGAGAAATATAGGTAGAATTGTCACGAGATTTATCTAAATTGATTTATCTCAGTTTTATACAGCGTTCATTTTTCTTCACGCTATTTGCAGGATCAAAAGAACTCGTGGCAGAGTGCAGAAGAGCTTAGGAAGTACAAGGATAACAGGGAGAAGCAGAACAGCGTATGGAAGCAGCGGATCGATGAACCTAAGTGTAACATCCAGAAAGAGAGCAAGATGATGGGTGTGGCAGGTCAGCCGCCGATAATCACTCATACGGCAGCTACTCCACAAGACTCCCCGAACACCACACTGGACGTCGGTTACAGAGACCTCAATTGTCGAGCAGTTTATCCGGCTGCTGCCCTTTCAATCGAGTCGATCGATCGATCCGGTGTACGTTGTTTCATTTCAATAAGAACTCGTCGTCATTACGCACAGGCGGAAGTTTTCATTGCGTAATTGATATAATAAAACATTCGCGTCTGTACTTGAAAATGGAAATTTTTCCGTTTTTCTTTCTTATATCGAATTTTTCATCGGTTAATATCTCGATGAAGTTGTCATACAATTTTAAATTCGAAATGTATTCTGCTGTATCTCATTAGAATCCCAGATTAAGGAGGACGCGTTACAAGAAAATATGATAATAACGAGTGCTTTGTATTCGCAGAGTCAGTGCAGTATACCCTCGGGGTTGTTAAAACTGCCCGACGTATCCAACAAAATACCGACGAATAACTTAATAGCTGGTCAATTCCCGAGACGCATAAGCCTCGTTACGGCCGTTGTTAATCCCTCGACGAGGGACTCGAGTTCTAGGTATCTGCGTTTCGGTTGCTCGCTCCTCGGTTGCATTAAATGACGTTCTCTTTTTTTCTGATACCGCTTCTTTCCACTTCAGCCCGCCGAGGGTACAAAGAGGATACTCGTGGCGCTTGTCACGGCCATCTTTACGGAGGAAACGATGGTCGCAAAGCGATGACGAACACACTGGCCATACGACTGTACTCAATAATGGGCGCAGTACTCTCGTTGGATCCAATCTAACGTAAGTCGATAAAAGTATTATCACTCGCGGAGAATAATTAAGTAATTAATTATCAACATTTAGAGTTGATTTAACAGGCGAATTTATTCCTATTTTCATGCAAAATTTCTTCTGTTAGTTTTTCACGTACATAATATTAAATTAATATGAAAATGATAAAATAAATAGTATGATATAAGTTATTTAATAACAATTAATATATGTGATTTCTTGCAGATTTAATGGCGGTTATTTACACGGTTCGATAAGAAATGATACTCAACGTGACGCGCCCAATAATCGAACTACCGTCCTGACAAGCAATAATCGTAGTTTGAGTCCTAATAATTCGCTCGAAAGTCATGGCCCCTGGTCGATTCGTCGTTACACAGTTACGCCTAATCAGGTGAGTTACGACATAATATTGTTGACATTTACTAGGTTGACATTAATCATTACTTTACATTAAATTATTACTTTTAAGCTTTTGAGAGAGAAGAGTTTTTCGCGAATCCTTATATAATCCTTGTACGATTACTGAAACGTCACGACTTGCAGATGCGATGGATCGGCGAGCTTTCGCGGAGGAATTCCCTGCGCGGATACGAGAATGTCCATACGTCTACGAGGAAGACGCTGCCATTGGACGAGATGCTCGCACCATCAACCCCACGCACGATCAACAATCTCTCGATGGAAACCGGTCCACTGCCGAGAATTAAGCGACTCCACGAACAAGAAGAGGAACGTCCGAGAACGGGTGGCGAGCAGACGCCGCCGTCGAACGGTCATGGTAGCGCGAGCAGCATTGAGAAAATAAAAAAGATATTCATGTTTTTTGAACCTAAGGGCTGCCTGCAGGAGCGCGAAAACTATTCCTTGTATTTATTCCCACCAAATAACAGGTAATACTATAAATAAGAGTAATGTTGCTTGATTAACGTTTGAAACTTTAAGACGAACGAGAAGTGTTACAATGGAGATGTAATAATAAAGAATAATAAACATGTAATAGAATAAATTAACTGCCAGAGATAAAGTGCAGATTCTATTATATGACATTATTATTAAATTAAATTTGAATGAATAATTAGCAGATTTTTAAATATGATTTTTAAATATGAATTTATGGTTTTTTTGGTGCTGCAGATTTCGCATTTTGTGTCAATGGCTTGTGGATCAAAAATGGTTCGATAACGTGGTATTGCTATTTATCGGATTAAATTGCATTACTCTGGCAATGGAACGACCGAATATACCACCGAACAGTCGCGAGAGAGTTTTTCTAGCCTCCGCGAATTACATTTTTACTGGCGTGTTCGCCATCGAGATGTTCATTAAGGTAACGTACTAATATGTTTTGGAGATTTTAGCTGTAACATTCACATAATAATTTCGGATACTGATATTTCAAGTAAAATTTCATTTCACAATGACTGAGGAAGAATGAAAAAGAGAAATTATCATAAGTATAAAATCGCGTGTGATTTCAATGTTATTTTTTTTTAGGTTGTCGCTACGAGTATGTTGTATGGTCCAGACGCTTATTTCACATCAGGTTGGAATATTATGGACGGATCTCTCGTTATCATTTCTATAATTGATTTATTGATGTCGTTACTCTCGGCTAGTAGCCCTAGAATATTCGGCATATTAAGGGTAAGACTGTCTTCACTTGTTAATAAATATTTCTTAATCCTTATTAGAACAGCTATTCTGACTAACGTAAACAGATGGTATTAAAATATTTATCCGGGTATTGTATTCTAATGAAAGTGCTTAATTTTTAACGTTTGATATTATATATTTAATTCAGAATAAAAAAAATTAATTTAAAAATTAATGCTGATGTTACATGTTTTTTCTAACTGATCATTTCTGTGAAAAAATGTAGGTATTCAGACTGCTGAGATCGCTGAGACCTCTGCGAGTCATCAATCGTGCACCTGGTTTAAAACTGGTCGTTCAGACATTGCTGTCTTCATTACGACCCATCGGCAACATTGTTCTCATCTGCTGCACATTTTTCGTGATTTTTGGTATTCTCGGGGTGCAACTGTTCAAGGGTGCGTTCTATTATTGCGAAGGCCCCGATATCAAGGATGTACGCAATAAAACGGATTGCCTGGCTGACAAGCGAAACGTATGGCTAAACAGGAAGTACAATTTCGATGATCTTGGCAAAGCCCTTATGTCGTTATTCGTTTTATCGTCGCGAGACGGATGGGTAAACATCATGTATACCGGTCTAGACGCTGTTGGAGTCGATCAGCAGGTGAGAAAAATAACGATTGAAAATGCATGTCTTTCCTTTTGACAATATTTTTCTGTCAGTTAATCGCAAAGATGTTTTTTTTTCCATAAATTCCGGTTTGGATAAGCAGATATTTTATTTTGCAACATGATAGTCTTTGATGTGTCTTCGAAGCAGTGCCGCTTTCTTTATATGATTTATTACTTATGTCTATAAAAAATATAATTAAATTCCGATACTCACAAAATAATTTCCAACTGATGAAACAATATTAATTACAGCCTATCGAAAATTACTCTGAATGGCGACTATTGTATTTCATCGCGTTCATATTGCTGGTGGGTTTCTTCGTGCTGAACATGTTCGTCGGCGTGGTGGTCGAAAATTTTCATAGGTGCCGTGAAGAACAGGAGAAAGAAGAGCGCGTGCGAAGGGCGGCTAAGCGTGCGTTGCAGATGGAGAAAAAGAGACGAAGTGAGTGGCCGCCAGTGGGTCAACTAGGTTAATGCCACTTTTACATCACGCACCAGATTAAACCAAAGATATCGATGTATGCAATGTTGATCATGCTTTTCAGAGATGCACGAACCGCCGTATTACACCAGTTACTCTAAATCGCGACTGTTTGTTCACAACGTCGTGACGTCCAAGTACTTCGACTTGGCGATCGCCGCCGTTATCGGTCTCAACGTCGTCACGATGGCGATGGAGTTTTACATGATGCCGAAAGCGCTCACTTACGCATTGAAAATCTTTAATTATTTCTTCACCGCCGTCTTCATTCTCGAATCCATCATGAAACTTGTCGCCCTCGGCGTGCAGCTTTATCTGAAGGATAAGTAAGCATCTTTTTTCAGTATTTTTATATATGTATATATCTACACCAAGAGTTACACCGTTGGTTGAAGATAAGCGTAACGTTATCTGAAGTCTCATAAGAAAAAAAGTTCTAACAGCGTTCTTCTTTCAGGTGGAACCAATTGGACGTGGGAATAGTGATACTATCAGTGGTCGGCATCGTGCTAGAAGAGGTCGAATCTAAGATTATCCCCATTAATCCCACAATAATTCGCGTAATGCGAGTGTTGCGAATAGCTCGAGTGTTGAAACTTTTGAAAATGGCGAAGGGCATACGTGCCCTCTTGGACACGGTGATGCAGGCATTACCGCAGGTCGGCAATCTGGGGCTGTTATTTTTTTTACTCTTCTTTATATTTGCCGCGCTAGGAGTGGAACTCTTCGGTCGACTAGGTAATTATTACTTCAATAATTTTATTAGCTCTTATATGAGCATGAAAATAGCTGGATAACTGTAATTGAATAATGCTAATTTTTTTTTCACAGAATGCAACGATGATATGCCTTGCCAAGGTCTTGGCGAGCACGCGCATTTTAGTAACTTTGGCATGGCCTTTCTGACGCTTTTCCGTGTCGCCACTGGTGACAACTGGAATGGAATCATGAAGGACACGCTGAGGGACGATTGCGACGATGCGGCGGACTGTGTAAAAAATTGTTGCGTGAGCACTATCATCGCGCCGATATTTTTCGTGATTTTCGTTCTGATGGCGCAATTTGTACTAGTGAACGTCGTTGTTGCTGTGCTGATGAAACATCTAGAGGAAAGTCACAAACAGGTGATGTTTCCAGACAATTTTATATAATAGATTTGACTTTACCACGAATATACGAAGTATAATATTTTAATTCCTTCCTATGAATTTTAATTCCTATGAATAAAGATGGAGGACGAGCTCGATATGGAAACGCAATTGGAGAGAGAATTAGCGGCGGAGCAGGAAGAACTTCTTGAGGAGGAAGACGAGGACGACTTAGCGATGAATGGTAGAATAGACGGTGATGAAGATGACGATGATGATGATAAGGAACGCGAGTCAATGGTGGTGAATGAAAAAATACATGTCGCGAGACCAGGATTGGCCAAAGTTCGGTCTTTACCTGCAAATTTTATTTACAATCCACCGAGGGAGAGAAACATCGATGGTGAGAGCATTATTAATTATTTATAGCTTTACTATAATATTGCGATATTAATATATTATATCTTTGTCCCTATATAATATTATATTGCGTCTTATTATAAAAATAATTGACTTCTCTATCTTCCAGATGCCTCGATTTCCGTGTCCTTGGACGAGAAACGTCGCAGTTCATATTACCGCAGTTCGAGTTCAAGACCGTCCAAGTTTAAATCGAAACGCCGGCAAACCTTCCATTCGAGCCACCACCAACGAAGGTCACTGCTGCCAATGCACTTTGAGGTCGCCGAAGTCTTTGAGAAACCTGTGAGCAATCTGAGCGTGCCTCGAATTATTTCACATCGCAGCTACGCCACAACTAGTCAAGACAGTCGCGTACTACGTCAAAAGTCGCCGGTGAGAAATCATATTTCGATAACGTAAATTCAGTAAATTTCGCATGCTAAATAAGAAACAAGCAGCACATATCGGTCACACTATAAATTATCATAAAACTGGATAGAAAATATATTGTTTACTCATTTAATTGAGTGAATAAATTTCATATTATTATTTGCCTTCACAGCACGGAAATATAATAAAATCTTTGTTCTCTTTTTCTTGCTCTTAGTAAAATTTTTTTTCTAATGTTTACAAAAAAAATATTATCCGGAATTAGTGAAGTGAAATATCATTTGCAACATCAATTTTGCAGGTGACCACCAGTGAACCGCGTGAAAATAAGTCTCTGTTAACCGTGAGCAAGCCGCCGACCAGCCCCTCGCTGATCCCTTCTCCCGGCTCTAGCAGCACCCTAAGCGTCCCGCCGAAATTGACCAGCGATCGTTACCTCATGCCGACCGCCGAGATCTACCCGTCCAAGGCGACAATGCGCCGCCGGACATCGAGCGACACGCAATCACCGTCGCAATCGGATACAAGCGCAGGCCCCGGTACTAGCAGCTCGCGAACGCCCAGCATCGCGAATGGCTATGCCGGCGGCAAGATTCGACTGGAGGAACCAAAGATAAAGACAGACGAAAGAAGACGTCCGACGACGACGGCCCCTCCAGAAGACCTCGATGTGCAGTCCGTTATCAACGAGAGGAGGCCGTCCAAGTTGAAGACGCACGACGCCACCGGTGCGTCCACCACCACCAGCATCGCCAGCGATCAGTACAGCGCGATGATGCGCGGCGAGGGTTACAGCCATATCTACGTCACCACCGAGGACAGATCCGACGAGGTCCCGTCACCGTGCGGCAATGCAAGCGAGAGCACTGGCACCGGCAGCCTAAGCGTCGCTGGCAGCCTCAGCGCCGTTGCCAGCCTCAGCGTCGCCGTCAGTGCCGGTGCGGCTGGCAGCATCAGCAACGGTAGTGTCAATGATAGCGGCAACGGCAACGGTAACGGCAACGGCAGCGGCAGCCGGAGCGGCAACGGCAACGGCAGCGGCAGCGGTAGCGGTAGCGGTAACGGCGGCGGGGTGCACATCGGCGAGGGCGGCGCTATCGGATCTGACGTGAGAATATACGTGGACGACACGGATTCGGCGAGCAGCAGTAACGAGCAACGGCGCGGCGGCAGATTGCGCGACGACGAAACCCTGGACGTCTCGAACTCCTCCACTACGACGATGCGAAACGGTAGAGGCAGCGGCGGCACGGACGAGAGCAAGGAGACACCCGAGAGACCGTCCTCCACCGGTGGATCGTTAGATCCCTCTTAATCCAGGGCGAACGAGCCGATGTAGTCTGTAAACATGGGATATTACATGTTATACACATGGTACACATTGCACGGCGGAAACACACCATGACGGAAGATCACGGGGAAGAGGTTTAAGAAAGGGCTCTAAGAAAGACTGTAGTGCATGACAATATAGTCGTTATATTCTAGTCACTTCGCCGCCGTGAACTTGCCAAAATGAACAAGTCGAGCATTTAGAGGGAGGTTGAACTATTTGGGAACAGGAGCGCGAGGGAGAGAGTACGAAAAGAGTATCTCGTGCATCGCGTAAACGAGATACGATCGCGAATGGCATGATGTAATGTAATTAGAAGAATCTACCGATGTATAGCGCAAAAAAATCGGCTACGCAAAACGCGCGACGTGCGCGCATCGCGTAACTTGAAAACCTATGACAATCTCTTATTGCCAACGGAACTGATCTCATTGTTCCGTTTCCGAAGCGTCGATGGAAATCGATTCGTAGGAATTGGTAGGAAGAACGACGTAGATCGCGTCGATAAAAATTAGAAAAAAAAGAGAGAGAATTTCAGTAGTTTATAGCTAGATTTTATGTCGAGTCTACGCGACAAAACTGCAATTAATTGGACCACACCTTCTCGCCTTTCCTTATTCTCTAACTCTTGAAAAATTGCGCGCGGTTCGCCGATTGGAAATCAAAGATGTCTACAATCGATCGATGTGGATTGCATTCTAGTCACTGGATGGACTAACGGGAATGATAATTAAATTGGACTGATGTAAATTTTTTGCGATTACATATACATGTGCCTGATTTTTTAACTAAAATAATCAGATTTATATAAATTCAAATTTATCTAGTTTAGAACGGATATGATAATTGTTATTCTTACAATTAAGTCAGAATAATATAGAGACTTTGATTTTCACGAATAATTTCTTTTAACCGGAATTAAAGATTCGATCGATCAATTGTGGCGATTGTTGGACAATCGGCGTTCGAGAATCGTGATTTATCTTCGTTTCGTTCACTTCACTCTTTTCACACACTAGAGCGTTCTTCTCGTTGACATCTGTGATATACTTTAATCGTAGCGTATTTCCTAACGGTAACAGCAAATATCAGAACGAAATCGTAACATCCAGCAGCAGCAGCAGCAGCAACAACAACAACAACAAGAACAGCGGCAGCAAGGAACAGCAACAATTTAGGGATGTAGCTGACTTTTTAATAAAACGAAAACCAATGTTTCGGTGGCTTTCGTGGGGCGTAAAAATAGAGAGACAAAACAAAGATAAATAGGAACTCTATACTGTACATACATACATCTACGAATATTCTATACTCTACACTTGGTGTGGTTTATTTTGATACTACCGCGTGCGGTAATATATTTAACGATTGTCGAAGTAAGTCTAACAAAAAAAAAAGAAATAAGAATAAACAACTCTATGCCTTTTACGAGCGTTGACGAACCTTCGTGCGGTGGTGGTGCCCGCGTTTTTTTTTTTTTTTTAGCGAAAGGGCGACCGACGACTCCAACTACCCTTTGTCGGGTCGAAGGTGTAGTCGCTAAAATCATGTTGAGACGCGCCGGGCGCGTCACATCGCTTGAACAAAAAATTAGTAATCGTCGACCAATCGATCGCTCGGTTAATATTGCGTTTCATTTAATAAGTCTAACATAATCTCGAATCGAGCGGCGTTTTTACGTTGAGTTTAAGTGGAATTCCTGGTCCAATGCTGAGCGGAACAATTATTGAATCTTCGGTGAAAATATTATTCTGGTGAACACATAGTGGTTCCAAGGAGTTGCACTTAACATCAGAATGGCTGAGAATTTGCTAGAAGAATAGTTTCTTATATAACGTGAATATAACTTGAGAAAAATTATCATATAGAGTATAAGTTTAAAAATATATTGTAACTTCGTTGTGTCTCGTTTCTTGAATATTTTCGATGGTATTTTATCGTGAACTACATTTCCTACATTTCACTTAATTATTTCTAAAGAGACCGACTTTCACAGATCGGGATATTCCAAATAGTGTTTAAATAAAATGTATGATTTACACAGCTTAAAATTTCGTGTTGTTACGCAATGTTACGCAATGTTACGCAAAAGAGAAAGTAAGACTTGAAACTTTTACAAAATTGCAAACTTTATAAAATTTAAAAAGAATATGTAATGATAATTGTCTTTGCCGTTCTGGTGGTAATAAATCTCAACTGGAAAACGGAGTAGCGCAAAACATACGTAGCAAGCATAGAAAGAAGCAACGAGCGATTCCGCATTGCTGTCAGATCATGTTAAGTTAAATCCGGACCAAGCAAATGAACACGAACGAACGCGAATGAACAATGGTAGGCACCGTTTGCACTTATTGAAGCAACTTGTTCATTCGTGTTTGTTTGCTTGGTCTATAGATCCGGCTTTAGACATTTTAAGGAAAGTAGATAATCTCGTATCCATGTGCTTACGTACTTGCGTTTCTTCGGCACCACGACCGGCTCTCGATAGCTCGATAGCGTTAGACGACTGACCTCCGAATTATAGTTAACTCTAGACACGCGCCGATTACGATCGTGCGCGAGTTTGCCGATCAGCTGCACACGTATCGATAGTCCGGCAATTGCGTACTATATTAAAAAAAAAAAAAAATACATAGGAATATCGGTTCAAGAGGATGTCGAGAAAAGTAAAAAAGTGTGTCACTAGAGAATTTTACGATCGTGCGTATGTGTGCACGCGTGATGGAGAAGAGAGGAATGTCGTATTGAAACTCGCAGCGTGCCTCTCGAGTCTGTTCTTCGCCCGTAGAGAAGGCAGTGCGTAATCGTCGAATTAATGAAAGCGCAAAACTATATAAAAACGAAGAGAAACATAACGGAGAACATAACGGAGAGAGAAGCAGAAACCAAAATCGGGGTCGCGGTCGGTCACCCGAGATATGTAACATGCTATTTTAATTACGGTAATGGGGGTGAGTAACCGGGGAGCGTCTTTTCCTGTTTGCCTGATGTCTTGCATGTATGCGTTTGATGATTGGTGATGCGAAACTTTGGCCTCGCTCCACCACACGTAACCGGAGAGTATGATCGATAAGAATGTGGGGTACATGTGCGACGGAGAACGTACGAGGAGAGATTCGAGATAACGGGGAGCTCGAGGGAAAAAACTAAATATGTACAAATGTAATAAATCGAGCGACGATTACGTTAAACTGGCCTATTACTTTTATTAATCGACCATCCACCATCCTGATTTACATTTAGTATCTAATCAATATTGCAACAAACAATATCCTTTGACATTTAAGCGGCAGCCTGTTTCGGCATATCCAATCAATCCGCGAGAATCTGTTAATTATGATGATAATTTATTATTGTTATAAAGTTATCATTATTATAAAATCGTAAATTCAATCAAGTTACATTTTATTGAATGTATCTTTTGTTGAATTTTATTTAGTTAATAAAACTATAGAATTACACACATAATTTTATGAAAAATATAACTTTTAAGTTCACGTTCACCTGGTACGGACATTCATATCTCACTAAGTGTACCGTGCACCCGTATTCTATAGATACATGTGTATTCCGGATTACCACTGTTAGAATGGACTTTCAGCTCGATTATCTCGTACGCTTCTTTCGCTCGATTCTGCAGTTAATTTTTTATTTCATGTAATTGAATATAAAAATTGACAATTAAGTGAATGACAAATGTTAATTATATAGAAACATATATCGTATCAAATATTCCACCTGGACTTCAAAATACTGCAACGGCGAACCAGTATTGTCATATATAAAACTGCCGAATAAGAAAGGCTTCTCATCATCGAGACTTGTTAAACCCTAGAATCAATACATGTAACAAGTGACAGACAGCTGTTTAAAATAGCAAATATGATACCTACACGTTGCATATAAAATACGTACTAAAATATATTTATTTATGAAATTACGATACAAAAACTTCAATATTACATATAATAATCAGCTCACCCAAATGGAAAAATCTTTTGGTGCCGTAGCAGTCTCGCCAGTCGGAGATATCAATGAAGAGATGTGTTCCAAGCTAACTCCAGACACGTGCACATGGCCGAGTAATCGAATCACCACGCTGCCGCTATTGCCCTTGAAGGCCCAGCATTCGCCCGGTAAAACGCCGGTCTGGTAAATACTTTGGGATCAGAACGTTAGTAAAATTAGATATAATCAGGTAACCTGTATCACAGCTCGGGGCGTGTTCTGCTGTTGACAAAGGGGTATGCCGAACAGATTGAGCACAGGTGCACCGGTCGAGTAAGGTTCAGTGTCTCGTGTCGAAAGAATAGCACCGCCTGCGGATAAAAGATTATTTGACAATGAGTCGAAGACGCGTTATTATGTCTTTATAGTATTTTTTTTTTTTTTACTGAAGAGTAAACTATCGAAGACACGTCTATTTATGGAAGATGAGAGATAATTTTACTATCGCGAAAAAAATGATTTGCATATATCTTTCTCATAATATCTTGAATTGTATGATAGTTTCTGAGAAGAGTTACACAAAAATTAGGTACTGCAAGTTATTTTCAAGCCGACTGAAAAAAAGAAGTAAAAAGGCCACTACATATCCTACTTACGCATGAGATTACTAGCAGGTCGCAGCAGAGCGCCCTTTAATTAATATGTTCTGGATAAAAAAAAAGCGTACGTAAAAATAGATTATTGGATAGAACCTGAGCTTTCAAGAGCGTAATCCGTTCTCCCAGTTTTGTCGGCGTCATACGTCTGTAATTCATTTCTCACCACACTTCTGACGGTCTCCGGTGATAGGGCCTTCAGCAAGTTCTTTGTATGCAGACTCATCTCTGTTGCAACGCGTACCACTTGTGATAAATGTTAGAAACTGGCGAACGACGAAATCGTTTGTCGAATAAAGAGATAAAAATAAAAGGTACGACAAATAATTAGACGCGCATGAATGATACAAAAAGAAAGGCTTTCATTTTGTTTTATGCAAGCCCTTGCGATATGGATAAGCTGCCTCAATACGTCGCTCCATTTATTTAGTCGATATATATTTGACGTCAGAGAAATGCCACTGCACCGGGCGCAGCATCCGGTCAACATTTATACGCCGCACCTTTCTTACCCTCGGACACTTCGTTCCTCAAGTTGAGAATAGCTTCTGACATTTTTGGAATCACGCTGCCCACTTCCTTCAACTTGTTCTTCAGCTCGTTGCGCATCTCTATTATGTTCTTCACCTCTAGCTAATGCAATTTTTGCAGAAACAATAACAAAAGCATCAATTCTATCTTGTAACGGTATTAAGATAAAAAGGATTTACTCTTGAAAAATGTTGAGACAGCAAACAATTACCGAGAGAGTGTCCAAATGAGATCTAAGGTTTCCCAAGTCCGCTTTGATCATTTTAAATGACGCACTTGCGGAATATTTATCGCAGAGGTGGGATACGGACATCGCTAAAAATATCGGAGCTCTTTATAAATTGACTCGCGAATAGATTTATTTAAATTTCACAAATCGGTCATATAGAGATACCAAGAGAGCCAATTGAAATTTTGTACCGAGTTAATTATTTATCAAACTAAGATCTCGTACCGAGCATCGACGTAATGACACAGAAAGCGAAAGGTTTGACGAGTTTGGTGTACCAAGCGGATCGTTGATTGCAACTGACTACGGTACCCGGACAATTCCCTGCGTTAACGCAACAAAAGGTGTTCCGGGCGCTCATCAGTGTCGTTTCGTCAAGCAATCATGTCCCAAGTAGTCTCAGAAGAAACGCGCTAAGAGTCGACGAAATTAATTTATTGGCGACGCTTCTTGTGAGTGGTACTCGCACGTTTTTTTACTGAACGTATGTGTCAAAATTTGGGTAATCATTGACAATCGTTTGTATACATAATCGATATATTGCAAAAAGACGAATCGCGATTCGAAATACTTAAATTGTCGTATACCGGGAGAAGATGACTTGTTTATCATTTTCAAGTAGAGTAATAATATAAAACAGTTCTGGATTAAAAGAAAAGATTTATTCCATTTTGATGAAATATTCAAATATATTTTCTTATTTTATTTTCGTTATATTATTTGAGGGTGTACAGAAAATATATGTACAGGGTGAATGTAGACAATACTAAAATGTATATACATTATTTTTTAAGCAAACTTTTCCAAATAATTATCCAAAAAGATGCGATCTAATTTCGTTTGCCTATAACATACACATTTTTTTAGACGGGGTAAAAGAACACCCGTAATTCACTTTGTATAAATTGCTATATTTTACTAAGTTTAGTATACTTTTTGTAAATATAATCTGTTGCTCTAAATAAATGTGATACATTGTACGATATAATATACATATAAGTTTGCCTGCTTTAAAACATCTTTCATCTTCGAAATTATATATATGGAATTTGCATTGATGTTTATGTTTAAAGCATAATACTAATAAAATAAAAAGAGAAGATCCATAAAAATATTTCTGGTGCTGATTGCCTTAATCTGATCTTCGTTGATCTTTATTGTTAAACGAGGTAACAACATCTTGGACGATAGTAACACACATAAAATGTTACCGTTGTATCCAAATGTAAATATGTTTTTTCGATCCTAAAGCTATCTCACATTGTGACGTAATATTGGACGCTTAAAAGTTAACGTTACTATATATTTTTCAGGGCGGCATGTATACGTAAGTTGAGTCGAGTTTCAAAATCATAATCTTTGTACTGATTTTGCGCCTTTAGTAGGAAATTTTTGCCTTCGTTAGGATTCTAAAATGTGAGACAATAAAATTGCATAAGAAATGACGAAAATATAGACGATGTATATATAATATACTTACGTTGTTGTTACTAAGGCTACTTCCTAATTCGTAGAGCGCAAACGCGCTAATGTGCTGGTCGTACTCGTCCTTGGACGGATACCTATGTTTCAAACAATTTCGGAAACTTTTAATAGCCGCTTCGGTATCCCCCAGATAAAGACACGCTGCGCCTTCGATAAGATCAGTTAAACCCACCATCGGCTCCTCGGAATGATTTTCCTTGCATTCTGATAATAAAGTTACGTAATAGATAAAACATAAAGAATTTTTTGTGCAAACAATTTAGGAGTCATCAGACAATATTCAAATAGATCTCTTTTTCGAATTGAAATATTATCGGTTACACGTTACAGGATATAAAACGGATGGAACTGAAAATCAATCTATTATTACCATTCGATATTTCTCGCAGCGATTCTTTGGTACAGGACGGAAGGGCGTTCCACACGTACATTGATTCGTATACGAGCAACTTATAATACAGAACTGTGTAAGGATGCCCGGTCTCCTTATCGACGATCTTCGGCATCCTGCGCATGATAAAAACATCGAGTTGCGACTCGCTTTTCGTCTCGTGGAACCAAGGGAGGATCTTGCTGTACAGCGACAGGAGAATGTCAAACTTGCCGTTCGCTCCGCAACAAACTGCAAATGTGTACAATGAAAAAATCCGAGTCTGCTTATTCGAGGCGTCGCGTCGAAGCGATGTTGACGTTACCCATAGCTAAGTAGGCGTAGAAGCCCTTGGACCATCTCGACTGCTGCTGCAACTGCAATAAGGATCGATATGCCTCGTCGTAGCTCAAGCGTATCACGTGGCACCAAGCCACCTCGTGCAAGCACAGCAATTTGACTTCCCTCTGAGTCGCAACGTCCACTGCTTTGCCGAACGCTTCTAGCGCTGCATCGACATTTGTCTACGAAACGATTGGAGCATGCAACAATGAATAATATTATATTAATGTCAAAATACATGGAATTGAGAAAGTAGCAAATCAGGTTGTATACTAGGCGTAAATATCTTTCTACCACAACGCATTTAGATGTTCATAAATAAAAATTGTAATTATAATACTTGTAAGGGTTGAAGGATATAAGTAAAGGTTTTTTTTAAAATAAATTAATAAGAAGTTGTAGAAGATGGTGATTATTAATACTCAATTGATTAATCTATTAATACCTCCAAACGTTCCATTCTACCAGCAAAGAAGAGAAAAAGGGCAGAGTTTTGGAATTCGGCATGACATTCAGCTATCAGCTGCTTCGCTGCCGCGACTCCCGCTTTTACATTAGACCCGTCAAGCGCGAAAAACGGACGTACGATCGTGTGATACCAAAGGAGGGATAATCTATGACAAAATAGTAGCATATTGACCAGTCGTTTTGTATAAAAAGTGTCAGAATATAACACGGAGATTGATAAACATTAAGATTGATAAACATGGAGATTGGTAAACATGGAATTGATAAACATGGAGATTGATATACGCTAGCGTATATAATACGTTCAATCAAAGTAAAAAAAGATTTAATATAAAAAAAAGGCAGTATATATATACTTTAAGATACATAAAATATTTTATGCAAGTTTTTAATTATTCTACACACTGGTTTGTAAAAATACATTTAGAGGAAGGAGCATTCAAAATTCATAATACACTCACGTAGCGAGCGGTGCGCGCATATCTTCGCCAAGTCGTGCATACATAAGGGCAGTAAGACCAGACTGCCTATTGCCTTCAAAGCCGAAGAAGTGGATTACTTTCAGCACAGACGGTGGCAAGAGGCTCACGCACAGCTGATATACACCGTAACCGAAGCTTGCGGCCGACATTAAACGTGTCACCTCCGTAGGTTCCACGAAGCTGCGAAATACATTCTGCTTTAATTAAATTTTCAAGCGCGAGCTTGGAACATGCGAGCGAGGAAGGAAGAAAAGCATAGTGATCAAAAGTAGCTACAAACTTCGCTTTCACGAAGCGAGTATTATGAAGCAGTGTGTGAGTTTACTGGCGCAAAATTAGATCGCCAACAGTGATCGGAGATTCGATCGCACCCTCCGCGAAATATGTCAGTAGGTGCTAACGCGCACGGGCAATGCCTTTCTCTCATGAGAGGAGAGGATAATGGGTGAAAGAGAGAGACGATGGGTGAAACGAAGGAGACGAGAGATTTTGAGTAAGAAGAAACAACAATTACGGTGTCTGTTGTTCGGACGTGATGCCAGTGAGCGAGAAGAACATTGATAGTGAGCTTCGCAGACCTGATGGCGACGACACGGGTGTCACGTTGTTTGTGTAACCGTTGCAGGACGGTATCGACCATTCCGTAGATTCCGGACTCTGCGGGCTCTGCAGAGAAGATCCATTGCTCGTCGGTGTGATGCAACATGGACTGAATCCTGAATACAAAAACAATAGAAAAATTTTATTGAATTCTTATTAAATAAATATTCTATTATTCTATATCCTATTTATTAATCTTCAGATTTTACTTAATAAAACTATGGTCGTTAGGACTAAACATCTTCTGCAAAGCTGCTACGATCAAAATTGTAATTTTCTGATCTTTTTAAATCTTTTCTAATCTTACAATACATAATTCTAATTACACACCGGTCGGATTTGTACCGAAGGTGCGACGATACAGTTGCGAAATCTGAGTGTACGCGTGCTGATAAACACGCCAAGCTTTACGAAGCATCCAACAACCGCGAACGTATCCTGTTAGCTCTTGTTGGAGGAACAATGACACGGCTGAGAATACCTGCGTATCTGCTAGAACGATTTGGCGTTCTAACTTATTCACATAGTCCTTCTGAAATTAGTTTCATCACTGTTTCTTTTTTTTTCCATTAATCAAACCGTCTCGTAAGTTCGTTAACGTAATTATAAGCATTTGACGACGTGTGATATTTCATTAGATTAATGTATTATATCGATAATCAAAGTTTGGAGCGCAATATCGATTTAAGTTCAAGTTCGATACCATAAATACAAGAAATAAATCTTACATAGATTTTATTTTTTATTGTTACTCAACGATAATCGCAATCATTTCTGCGCGTCCAAATATATATATAAAAAAAATACAAACTAAACAAAATTATATTAATTATATTAATAAAATCTTGTTGAGGAAACTTACATCGGTCTCTTCTGCTCTAAACACTTTACTTTTCATGGACTTCAGCCACCCTATGTCACCTGCACATTCCCGTTCCATGTCTTTAAGCAATAATGTTGCTTGCTGGAACTTGTCCTCTTCGAAAGTCATCAGGGCATTCTGCACGATTCATCAAATTGTATTAAAAAATACTATCGCCAGGCATTAAAACATTCAAGATGCCTTATGCATTTCTCATTAATCGGAGCAAATAACGCGCTCGTCGTCTCACAGTTTTGTTATACCGTAACAAGATTATGAGATTACTTTTACTCGATTCGTCCGTCCTGGGATGATATCAATCGCTATCGATTTTATGTTTTCCGATGCACGCGTGTGCTCGCGGTTTATTATTAAAACCGATTAAGTAACAATAACATTCTTTCGCGGCCTTGAACGTTAAGCGTACCTCGGTGGAATCGATATATGGCTCATCACGGCGTTTTACGTACCATGAAGAGAACAAAGCAACGGCCAGCTTTGACGTGGAAGCTATGAGGATGCTCGGTAAAGAGAGCTTCAGCTTCCTCGGTTTTGTTGTTCAGCAGCAGGGAGATGCCGGTCCTGGCGACTTTCCAGTCCTTCATCGCGTCTTGCGCCATTATCCCCGTGAAAAGGATTTCAGAAAGTTATACGGACGATGAAGAGACTCGGACGTTTTCTCCTCGAGACTGTCGGCTATACGTGTTCGTCAAATGGAAAACATCTTTCCACCGTGCAGGATTGTCAATCGAGAGTTTACGTAAAGGTCACTTGCTCGCGCGAACATACTGATAATTGTTGATTTATTGCTGTGTCAAGTTCAATGGTCGGAAAAATATATGCGGTACGCAGAATATATCCCGTACGTTTAAATACTTTAAATTACGAGCGTGCCAGCCACGTTGTGGTCACCGCTGTCGTCACTGATCAAAATCAGTGCGATGCATCCTTACGAGCGCCGCGTTTTCTCCTTGCACAAACCGCAAAGCAGGAAGAGCTAGTTTTAACGTATATATTTAAAAATCTAATTTTGCTTTTTCCGGAATTTTGATTTTCCGGCGTAACACAGAAAATTGAGCCACTAGGACGGACCTACCCTTCGCACACGATACAACATGTCTCCTCGTTTAGATATAAGTATTTGATCTGATTAAGCAATCCAAGCCCCTTGTGCAGTTGTTACATAAGTTTCTGTCATCATATATGACTACTCCATTCTCTATTGACGCATTTGTCTCTTTTATCAATTTTTTTTCGAATTTATTTACATACGGAATGATGAACAGTTGGAATTCTTCATTGAGACCGTCCCTCGAGATCTTTGGGGGTAAAAACAAATTTTTTTTGGACATAAAATGCAAATGTGGATTACAAGGAAGACCGTCTAACGATGTAAAATCTTGATGCCGCTTCCGTTCCTTAGAAAAGTTGGATAATTACCAGGCACTGACATACTAACGGAATAACATCACTCTTCGAAAGACTATAAACGAGCATTGTATAACAAATGCACGCGAACCACGGTACATACTCGGGCTGCGAACCGTATCCTTGCTGTGCATCGAGTTGACTAAACCCTGTTGAAGAAGCGCAGTGCTGCTACCACCACCACCACCACTGCGCTGGATATATACTTGTATTATTGATTTTGGCACAGAAGTACATATTGTAACCCTGAGCGCGCGCGGTACGTGTAATGAGGAAAACAAGAGGAAGAAAAAAATTAGTCATATGACGTAAAAAGCTCGAGACATGAAAACGAAATATATAAAAGGTCCGAGACATCAGGTTCTTTTTATGTCTTTTGCTATGCTGTGTTTCCAATACTTGCTTGAATTCCACACAATTCTCTTTACAATGACCATCAAAGCATCATTTCAACGTAATACAATTAAAGACACAATAATATAGCTAACGAATCTCGTATATTCACGTATTTTTTAAAACAATTGCAAATTTATGTGCGAATCAATAAAAGTGTGGTACCAGTTTTGAATACAGATTCGCGCGTATGTATGTGTATTTACAATTGTGGTTCGAAATATATTTACAGGCATTTCCAGTAATTTTATCTCGTTGTAGAAACTTAAAACTACGCATTCTGTACATTCATTTACAATTTTTTTATTAAATAATTAACGACTACCCTTAAGTGTCATATAAATTCTAGTCCTTCGAATTTTTTGTCCATTATTTTATTTTCGGGCATTATTATCGTTCCTTCTATCGTAAAGGCCATAATATACGTAGCGGTCCGCCCTTGATATTCCTCAGTCTTTAACGCTATTATGATAGAATCTTGTGAACCAGGGAGGAATTTGAAACTGGAAAAACCCCTGATTGGAATTAGCTCTCCGATATGAGCAACCTGTAATAAATTTTATAATTGTTACAATTTACCAAAATATCAAATATACTAACATTTCATGTAATTATTAAAAACACACTTTAATCTCAACGAAATTTTCGTCCGCAGTCAGCATGACATTGCAGCTCATCGTTTCATCCCACGTTTCATTGTAACGTTCATGGGAACATCGTCTAGGCAAGAAAAACCAGCTCCTGTGTATATCGCTCCAAGCTCCAGATTCATGTATCATGTAACCTACGCAAAGTATATGTAAGATAAATTAATTCGTGCATTCACAAATTATAAGTATCAGCATACCTGGATACTCGATGTTAATCGCTTGCCTTAATCGTTTGTAGTAAGAGATCCAATTGATGGAATGTGTCTCGCCACGTGGTGACACTACTTTAACCCATAACGGATTATTATGTTCAAATTCGCCAGAAGGGGTAGTCCATTCCTTTCCCATGCTGCCAATGTACAATTGTTCGTCTTTGATAGTCGCCCACTCGGATTTAAATCCTATACAAAATTACAATTTTAATTAGAAAAACATCTTGCAAGTTGCCAGAAGCAACAGTAATAGCAGTTTACTGTTCGCAGATGCTTACCCTTGTGACTTTTGCCATTGCCGTCCATTAAAATAACCCATGGATAAACTTGGTCGCCCTCAATGAAATAAATCATCCCTGTACGATCGTCGAAGGACAGCAGGCGACCGTCGAAAGTCACTAATTCCGACAGCTCCATTCCACGTCCCTTCATGGACAACGACGAGGACAATACCACAGTTCTGTCGTCCCAGATGATGGACAGAAAATTGTTGATAGGGTTCCAGTAGAGGCTGCCGGTTTTCATGAGACTGTGCCACGTGTCCCTCTTGTCCGCGAGCTTGGAATCGTGATCGAGGTCGCTCACTATCGCTATTCGGTAGGTAATACCCTTGGAGGTTCTGATGGGCGCCGAGCTAGGGTACGTACGGTTGTACTTGTAGTAGCGACACTGGGCCTGGGTCTGGGCCTGGAGCTGGGTCGGCGACGAGCACACGACGCCGTGCAGCAACGGATACGCGAGGAAGAGGATCGGTACGCTCAGAACCAGAAGGATCAGCGCCACGAACTGGCCCTGGATGCGAAACGTGCTGTTCGCCACCCGGTAGACGTGCGGTGCGCGCAACGCCTGCCGCCAGTCACGTAGATACGACATGGTCTCCTTGCTGCCGTTCCCCATCCGCGCCGCGCGTCGTATCAAAGTCGTGGCACGCGTGGCATGTGTCGGCTGGTCGGCTCGTCGATTTTCGACAACGTCGATCTATAAACCCTAACCTAGGCGCGCCATTTCCGCGAGGCAGTGACAGCAGCACTGCCGTCAGTGCCGTCAATCCTAACCTCACCTGGCCATGTGGCTGCTTCGACAGAGACAGATGATTCGTCCTGCAATGTTGTGCGATGCGCTCTTAGGATGAAGTATGAACAATAGGTAAATGACTTGTAGCGTAATTAGCGTAATATAATCCGCACTCAAAAACGATGCATAGAATCGACTTGCATCTACCCCTTCTCTATTAATAATAATGTTAATTGATTATTTCGATGCACGTCGTTCGTTACTTCACTTTTTATCGTGAGCAGCTGTCATCCGCGTATTTTTTGCAATAAATGTTAATAAATATTAAGAATTAATATCCATTCACTGTTTATTACTTCGATTATTCTTATAAAATTTTTCTTCAAAAGATGAAAGAAAAACCCAGAGAAAAATGTTTTTCATCATATTATACAAATAAAATATATCTATATAAATATAATTATAAATTTAAATCATTTATTAAGAAATATATTGTACATTGCAGTTTCAGATGATGAATAACATCACAAATATTAATGATAAATTAAAAACATTTAAATTTTCATAACATTAATACAATCGTATAAATAAATATATTTAAATCGTTCCGCAGGATCAATTTCTCAACGTGCCGGATCGGCGCAATTATGGCGAAAGCGCATCGTCGGGGATCCATTAATTAGCATCGCGCCGGGCGCGCGTTCGAATCGTCGGCACGGTTGGGGGTCGTACGGACTACGGACGGCTCCGTTGGCGAAATGAATCGAAGGGGGCGTCGGTAGATAGCGGGGGAGACGCCGGGGATGAATCGGCGAGGGTGGCAAGACCTACTCTACGGTCTACAGTCAGTCGCGTGACGCGTTTTCCGCCGACAGCAGCGTCGGAGGACGGCATCGTCGGGTTCGCGCGAGCGAGAAAAAATTCAGGCTCCGATCTCCCGTTTTCGTTTCCAGTTTCCAGAAACGCGCTCGCGTTTTTCGCGCGCCGTCACGGAGTCAGGTGCCGCAAAGTGCCGGCTCCACGGCTCCTTCGTGCGCGCTCGGCCGTGACCGGGCGCGATCGGCGCCGCCGCTCCGCGCGCGCGGCAACCTGTATTATCGATCGCGCGGGCGCGCGTGCCGCAGTCCCGCATGCCGCGTTCAAGCTGACCGCGAGGGTGGCGGAGATACGTGGATACGTGCGGTGGATCATGTGCGGACGAGCGTGCGGACAGCTGACGACTTCACTCGCGAGCCCGACGCGAGATTCCGTGCGCCGAGACGCCGGTAAGTCGAACGCGGCCCCGGACGCCCGCGCCGGTCGGAGCGGATCCGTCGTTCGTTGAGAGATACCGCGCCGCGTGTATACGTGTACTACATCCCCCGATACGTCCCGACATCCCGACTGCGTCGCCGCGAGTTCCACGCGTGATTTGAACGCGGTATGCCTATAAAGGACGATGCCTCAGCCACGCGATCGCTACTCGCTCGAGGATATGTAGGATGTAGTTTCACGCACAACAACGGCCTAACATGCTTAACGTGGGTGCGATTGGCGAAGCTACTCGAAGTTACGGTTAGTTGCTCGCCAATTTTAGCAGTAGCCAAAGTACTTTCCGTCCTGAATGCCTATATTTCAATGTCCTGTATATGCATCGAAAATAAAACGCTGGTGTAGTCGGACGTGCACTCGAAGTAACTTCGAGACGTCGCGTCGGTAGACAGAAATATTTTCGTGTAAAAGCTGGGGCACCGAGAGAAGTGAGAGTAATTTTTGGCCTACATCCATTTCAATTCTTAATGTCACGTGATCACCGGCGGGAGCGTCTTGAACGTTGTCACGTGACTCCCAATCGACGAACCGGCCGGCCGTATTCGAGATTCGAGCCGACGTCCGTTTTTCGTGGTTTTTGGCACGCGTATCGTACCGTCGGCGTCGTCAGATTTAGCGCGATTCCGCATTCGAATGTGTCGCGTCAGTGAACGTATAATAGCGGTGAACTTCGCCCGTCGTCCCCGCTCGCGGTCGCGCTCGCGCGCAACTTCAAAATGCTCCGCCAGCGAGGCGTGAGGTTATGACGTTGCGCTCAAGGATGCACCCCGTCGCACCTGTTCGCTTCTGCGTCGTCTCGTCAGCGGCGGACAACGTTCCCTGCCGATCCTGTGAAAGGTAAGAGGCTGGAATGTGTAATCAATTTTGGCGATCGCATTTTGCATATGAGCATTTCGAATATTCCGCGAACGGCGTTCGGAATTTCGGAGTAATTTCGGCTTCTCTGACATGCGAAAGTCGTTTGTACGTTATACGTTGTACATACGTGGGCTTATCGTCCACAAAGGGAGCTTGCCAACAAGCGACACAAGTCGACACAAACGTCGCTGTCTTTCTTTTTTGGCAATAAAGTAACAAAGACAAAACGACACTTGTGTCGATTTATGTCGCTTGCTGGGAAGCTCTCAATGAGAACACAAATGCGTATGTGCGAGGCGCACTTTCCCGTATCGAAACATGAATAATCGAAATGTCATCAATTTTGATGAAGATTATACCAGAAAAAAATAGAAAGTTTTATTTGAAAAAAGTTTGAAGAGTAATTACAGCTGGATTAATTGGTAAGATATTAGAGTACAACCTATTTTGTAAAATTAAATACGAATTTTAAATGCATTATTTTTAAAGCAGCGTCTTTTTATTTAATCAATAATCACTTTAATCGAATCACTTTAATTATGTATATAATATTGGCACTTTATATGAGATTACAAGTGAGAATCCCTCGACTGAAAATTTATTCTTCTCACATGTGTGATAAAATTTGAATTCTACATATATCTTTTGGGTCTATACTCGATTTATTGTTGCTTATCACAAGCAAAGTCAAAATGGATTATAAATGAAACAGTTAATGCTAGCTACTCAAATTAAACCTCTTGGAAACTTTACAAGATCAAAGCTGGCAAGTTTACTTAAAAATACTCAATTTCGACGCTGTGTTCTTTAGTGTGAATAAAAGCTCGAATGATTTATATTGTTTTGCGGAACATTTCTCGCGATGATAACTGGACAAATAATTAAATAAATTAAATAACTGTAGAAGCAATTATATATATAATTAAGCAAGAAAATATGTTTAATATTTTTAAAACGAACTTCGCGAAACGAATTAACAGAGAAAATTATTTTTCTTGTCTGTGCTTATATTTTCGTATTAGAGTATATAAGTCCCGAATGTATTCTGCCACGTACGGAATACAGACGTGCACTTGTACGGGTTCCACCACATATTGAACCGTACGCGGATCAGTTCGCTTAGTAACATAGCATGACTACTTGCCGTGTCGCGTTTTATATCCAAGGCTGGCTTGACGCGTCGTACAAATCTTACAAGCGGATCAACGTCGGACGGAAATGCAACACCACGGTGTAGGGTGCAGGGTCGTAAAGAGATACGTTTGCATCGGCAGGGGAGCGAGGGGAGAGATATCCCTGCACCCCGAGTAGAATAATAATCCAGAATTCTAGACGAAACATTTTGGGCAATTAGAAACTGTTTTGAATCATTGATTTTAGAGATTTATCATTTACAGATGATTATCCTGTTAATAACATAATTCTCCATGTAATTAAATAATCTGTGAAAGAAAAATCAAGTTTTAAGTCGAAAGTGGGTCGAAAGTGTTCTATCATATTATACCTTCGAGTTTTCTTCTCGGCTAAAAAAGGCATTCTCATTTATTCCGTAAAGAATAAAATTTCGAAACCGATATTGATGTATTATTTCACTCCGTATCACCTTCTTTATCCCGCGGAACGCAGTGTCGATTTGGAGTTTTTTTTTCCAAGCTGCTGTTTCGTGGAATCAAGGTTGATGACCTTACGTCTCGGACTAACAGCCCTCGAGTTTTATACGACACGTCCACGAGACATCGTTGCGGCACGATACACGAAGAGAGCCAGATAAGGGGAAAAGAGAGCGTGTGTTGGGGATGCGGGTGGTTTTGCGGGGGTCGAGACGACGCCGTGGGGTAACCCGCGCGTTGACGCTCGTCCGAAACGGAGGGTGACTCGCGCGAGCATCGAAACGAAAGAAGAGTGCATGATGGGGTGAAATAGAAAGAGAGGGAGGGAGGGAGGGAGAAAGAGAAAGATAGAAGGAGGGAAACCGATGGGTATGTTTAGACTGCTTGGGATGCACTATAGTTATGGTTTCGCAACGATCGAATGACTCCGTGATGTTTTAAAGATTGATAGATTGTTGTACAGAACATCCGGGAATTTTTTAGTTTTGAACAAGAAATAGGTATTATAAAGAAAAATATAAAATATAACAAATATAAAATTATAAAGAAAAATGTTCCATAATACAAGTCAATGACTTCTATTACTTGCTCATTATATTATGTTTCGATCTAATCTAATTTTCTGCGTCTTACTTTTAATATGCTAATTAGAGCAGTGTGTAATATATGCAATTTGTAATCTGATAATTTGTAATCTGATTAATTTGTAATCCGATCAATTTATATATCCTATTTAAATTAACCGCGAAGCAATTCTATGCTTCTGCAATATGCAATATATAATATATATTTGATAATAACATCAATTCAAAATTGTTCAGAGATTTGAGGGCTACCACCGTGTCTCGACATTAATAATGCTTCAAGATACAGTGGCAGCTTACAAACCTCTAAATAACTGAAAAAAGCATCTGTGGATGTTTCAAGAGCTATAATAATATCAATTAATTTAAGCAATTTAGTGGAAGTCATTTTCTTGAGTAGTTCTTCAACTATTCTATCCAATGTTATCATGATTCGAATTCATGATCTTAACTAAAATATAAAATTTATCAATGTTTGTATAATGAGAACGGGAATTTAGCGCTTTACATACCTTCAGCCTTCTCATTTTTGTATTTGATTTGACAGTATTTTTTTGAAATGTACTAGGAACTCTAGAACCCTTAGAAAAAAAAGTCAGAACACAATTATACTGAAATTCTAAAAATAAGGCGTTAAGTTGATAAAAACGGGGGCTGTTTCTTGAGAACATTGTTGTTTAACTTAAGATATTTTGAACGTGTGCAGCGGCATGCGTCCCATGTGCACAGTGCACGCGGAATAGATGGTTTGGCACGTTCCCAGACCCATCGACGCATTGCCATGGAAACGGCACCGCGCACCGCCGCCGCTGTACGAGAACACGCTGTGCCGCACCGTCACGTAGCGCCGCTTTAGAACAGCAGGCTAGTTTCAAGGGCACTGCTCTATCGCGCCTTAAGGAGTGCAAGGACGATCAATATCCCTTTGCACCCTTATTTCCGTCGCACTCATTGGCCAGCTGAACATCTTCGCGCGTCGACGATTGCGCTCGTAAACAATTACGTTACCCTCCCAATTTAATCTGGAAGATCCATTATGCAGAGTGTATCTTCGTCTGTATATTTTTTAGGAAAAATTATAGATTTTCTCGTCGTTTTTAAATGTCGCGATTGTCCGATTTGTGCATGAGAATTAATGAGTTAATGAAACTAGTAGGTAAATGTTCAAAGTAAAAATATTCCATGCCGGGGTGCAATGTAAGGCGATTGTGATTCCTCAAAATGTGATCGTCGGGATTGCGCCGGGAAGTGAGATCGCGTGCGCGACTAAAAGCCAATCGTTATGCCCTGAAAGTACTCGTTCAAACGACACAGCAGTAAGTGTGGGGGTGATATTTTTGCGGCGTCAACACTCGACAAAAATCGATCGGTTTAAAAGTGGCACGGTTTAGCTAGTTTAACACATAGCCCCCTCGTATTTCAGGAAGCACGCGGAAGAGGGAGGAATGAGGAGATTCACCCGGTGACCTCGTGCCGCGCGCGGTGATGCTACTGGCAAACGGTGCCTCTATACCGACCATCGCTGGCGCTGTCGAGGAGGAGGAGGAGTACGCACGCAGCGAGGCGAACAGCGTGCAGTATGATGGATACGTTACTGATCACACCGATCTGGCCTCGGAGGTCGATATCGACGAGTCCGAGTACAGGCGGGAGTTGCTTAATGACGTGAGTAATTATCTCGAAATCGTTAGACGTTGCTAGACCGACCATCAGAAATATAGACTGTTTAATTATTAAAATTAATTGTCATTTTTCTAACGTATTCACATCATTTATCATGAGTCTGCAACGTTTTTTATTTTGCTGTTTTTTTTTTAAACACAAAATAAATAGATTTTGCATTAAGGGATTGAGAGATAATTAATTTTGTTCGTACGCAAGGCATCTTTTTAATATTAATTTTGATGAATGTGATAGTGACTAATATAAATTTCTATTTCATTACAGAAATGGCGCATGCTCTTCGACAAGGTGTGTATAATTACATTGTTTCAAGTTTATTTATCTGTTTTTTTTGGTGTACCAGAAATTAGATCTAGATCTCGTTCTCTTGCTCCAGTTTGATCCGGAGGGTTTTGGAGAGATACCGCTGGAGGACTTTCTGGCAGCCTTGAGAAGCCCCGAATGGAAGGCGGAGATACCGACGAACAAACGTGACATACTTCTAACCAGGGCGAAAGAGTCGCGTGTTGAGGCAGTAACTTTCCAGGACTTCGTCAATGTGGTGAGTTTGTAACTGTATTATTGTATGCGCATGCATGGCTCTTTATTTCAGAGGTGCGGTGTGACATAATTTCAAAGTTACACACGTAAAAACAATATAGACTTACTAGCGCTTATGTAATTTGAAAAATTCGTCGTGTTATCAATTAAACTATCTATCTATATTTTTACAAAGATTAGATTTAGATCCAAGTTTTAAAAAATATATAGAAATAATATAAATAAGTACTTAGAGTTGCGGTTCTTTAAATAATTCGGTATATAGGTCAGCGGTATAAAATACATTTATCCTTGTTCTAATATTGAGAGAAAATTAAGCTGAGACAATATCATTATTGGTCTTAATTTCTATTTGATTACCGCATTTTTTAAATCAAAATTTTGATATTGTCGGATGTCTGATTTGTGCACGGATGGCAAGTTTTCCGGCAAATGTACTTCGTAAAAGCAGATGGTTCTGCAGCACGCTGTCTGCTCGACAGTGAAACGCTCGCTCGATAGGGAAGAACGACATAAAATCGTTCGTTTAAATGTAAAAAGATTTTTTATACGTTTTCCTAGCATGTTTCTTATTTAGTTAGGTTTGGAAACAGAAAAAACAATTTACATTAATATTAATATTAAATGTTGCGATGCAACAGCTTAGTCTCATGCAACAGAGATTTCATTTATCTTTCGTCAACTTAACAGAGATCTATTTTGCATTATGCGATAGACAATAACGATTTTAATGTAATTTTTTCATAATTAATTTCTTCAAAAAGAATAATACGTACATACAAGCGATATAAAGTAAAATTCTAAAGCAGCAGGAATTTTCCAAACTATAAATAAACGTATCTAATAAATCAGTATTTAATTTACATAAATATATTAATTCTATGAAAATATGTAGAATGAAATAAAATAACTCTATCCATTTCCATTCGTTTTCGAAATTATTGATTGTTGAAGAAAAAATGTTTTAAAATATCTTTACTTTATTTCGAGTAATATCATCTTATGATCAATATAAATTTCTAGAAACTCCATATAAATTTCTAGACTCCATATAAAACTCTAGATGGAGTCACTTTCAAGATTTGAAAGCAAATTGTACTTTTTTTGTACAAATGGAATAACATTATTTCATTAATCAATTCTTTTAATCTTTTCACATATAAAATTAATATAGAGAATATATTTCGCGAGATATTTAATATTTTATATCTTAAATTATTTTAATACAAAATATCTCATCAAGTATTCATCTTTTGATAATTTACATTAATATTTTTGTATGTAAAATAATAATAAGACTTAATTGATGACTCTTTCATTTATTATATAACTCCGTCAATTTATCTGCTTTCTTTAAAAAATAAAGGTAACTTTTAAATCTAGGATGTAATTTTAACAAAATTATATTTGAATATAATATGCCGCTTCGAAACAGAGTAACTGGTTTCGATTTGAAGCATTTTTTTAATAACCTCTAATTTTGGAAATATCAAGAAATCGATGGAATTATTGTAATATATTTATTCTTACTTTTATAGGGTTTATATAAATGTGTGCACTAAAAAAAAATTATTATTTGCAAAAAAATAGATTTCTTTGAATTTAATTCTCTTAATTCAAAGAAGTATTAGGTATAGATTCGAGTTGCAAATAATAAATTTTTGTTCAGTGTAGATATAGATAATAAGATATATTTAACACACACACACTTGTGTCTCTTTATACAACTTCCCTCTCTGCTTTGTGCATGCTACTTATGTCGCATATGTTTCGCTCGTGAATCGAGATGGGAAATTTGCGACACAATGTAATCTGCTTAAGAGGCCGCGTCGGAATTTACTTTGGAGCACGCTCGATTTTCATCGGTTTCTGCAAAAGCCGGATCGCGACCGTGAAAACGGTCGACGAAGATTTACGGTAGTTAAATAGTGTTATTCTAACCGCCTCGGAATGTCTCATTGTCCGTCTATTTGTCAACCTGAAAAATGTGGGTTTCGGCTCCGGATTTCACTGATCCTACCAAACAACAATGACCGCGGGCAAGGAAACGCGGCTAGAAACTGACAGATAAATATCGGTACAATGATAATCTCAACGTTTAGAGGCACGGCGCACCGGCGGATGCTTTGTTCGCGCTTAAACTCGCTGACAAGTTTTTGGTGGTTTTCTACACGAGCTCCCTTTCGCTCGTGATCCCGAGAAGATAAACGGATCTGACGTTGAGAGGCGGAAAATTGTTCGTGCACATATCGAAACGATTCAAAGCGTGAGTTAAACGACGCGTAAGGAGTCTCGACGAGACTCGACAAAATCAACCGTGAGATTTTTTGTCATTAACTACGCAACGAGAATAATGTCACTGTCCTCTTGTGAATTATATCTGATCTTCGTGTAATTTTGATAAGATTGCTAAACGCAGGGGCACAAGAGGCTCTCGGTCCATCTCGACCGCCTTAACGAACAAATGTGGCGTAAGCCATTTTTCGGAAATTGGCTCGAGGCTACTCTTCCGTAAAAATTTGTAAGAAAGCAGTATTCTATAGAACTTTCTGCAGGATGGGCAAACGTTCCGTTTGAGATTTTTCTTGTAAATTTATAGAAAACGCCATACAGGGAATTTTGGCAAGCGGTCAATAACGAAGATTAACATTTCAATTTATTGCGAATGTGAATCGAGAAGTTAGTAAGATTCTTTGAAAAGAAATTAATAGCTAGGTAGACAGTAGATCTATTATCGTTATCGCGATTTTCGATGTGCTCGATCATTTCGGGAGGGAAGTGCAATCTTCTTTCGTGACTCAGTGATGCTTGATTTATGCGATTTGGACAGGCTATCACAAGTTCTTTATCCATTTTTAGTTTTACAAATCTTTTTGTTTATCATGACATATAAGATAAATGTAGCGATTTGAAGTATTTAATTAATTTATGTGTTATATATACATAGATATAAAGATTTTCTGAACTTAATCTTATAAGGCGATTTTGAAACTTTTCCCACGAGAAAAAAATGTTTACATTGTAAACCCTTTTATTTATGCGTTCTCACGCCCATCATTACTATTTATGTATACCACGGAATCGAGAGAGGCCTTTTTCGTCATAGGCTAATCCGATTTATCTGGTTTCTCTGTGGCGTACCTGCTTTATATTGACAAAATTCATTTGAGGATTATCGACTGATCCTCGCTTTAAAAATACTTTGATCCAAAAAAGAAACCACTAGAATTTTTTTCGCTACGATTTAACCTGGAAATATTCATGACAAATATTAGTATCCGTTCTCTAATTATTTTGCCTGATTGTGAAACATATTTTTAAATACATATATATGTAGGTATAATGAAGTAACAATGAACAAAATTTATTCCGCTAAATAAAGAAAATGTAAGAGAAAAATTTTGCGATGACTATTAAGTTGCTTTACCTAGTTATCTTTGCCAGTATAGGAAACACTAATAATTATTGCAATGAAATAAGTAAAATTTATTAGGTATTTTAATAATATAGGTATTTTAATAATTAGGTATTTTAATAAAATAATAGAGTAATAATTCTACAACACTTAATAACTTTATTGCCGTATTGTTATCCGCGTCATTTTGATGTCTTTAACACTGGCTTATACTTTCAAGACTTAAGTCACTATTATCTTTTTGTAATATTTTCAAATTTATTATAAATTTGTAAATTTTTTGAAATTTTGAATTTAAATATATACTATAAAAGCTCGCGTATTGTCAGCCGCTGAAATCTTTGCTTCATTTTGCCGTGGGATGTATATACTATAATAGGATTATAACGACATGCTTCGTTAGATGTTTGTGTCATGTCTGACATGACAGATTTAACGAATATTTTATATTTTATCGTTTGATCCCGACGCATAAATATGTAAGTTTCTAATTGTATAATTACGGATTTTTTATTGTCTTTTACTTATTGCGGAGAACTGAAATTTTGTCGTTTAGTTTTTAGATTCGGCGTAGTTAGGTCTGACTAATATATTTGTGAGAGGTGTATTTGCGCTTGAAAAGGACCGGATCCACGGTCGAAACGTAGCGTTTTAGATCAATAAAATTTGGCCAGTTGGGTTGCTTACAATATCTCTGTTAGTTATTTATTCGATCAGTAATTGTATACACATATTTAACATGTGTTAGGAAAAACAGTCTGTGGTCGTTAATTTACGTAAATTTATAAATGATTATTTTATATATATATCAGAGTTGTTACTTTTTAAAATTAATAACGAATAACGAATAACGGTAACGATAACAAATTTGGACCTTTAAACGCATGCCGTTATAAGTGTAGTGTATAACCTTCTGTAATTTGTCTCAATCGTCCTAATTTCAAAATATTTAATAACAGTTCAAGGGTGCCATTATACAAATCTGCGTCAAAGTCACGTAGAGTGACTTTTAACGATCAAAATAAATAGTCTTTGTAATCGCTTCCGTATAGTTTTCCGTGCTAACTCAAATTTAAATGTTACGTATATCGAGGACCAATAAAATGCATTTAACATTTCGAGTGATTCCTTTCGTGATACGCTCGCAAGGAAACACTTTTTTGTCTAGTGTCGTCTAGTAAATCTCTCATCAGCCACTAGATGGCTAATCATCAGGCTTCTCTGAAATCCTGACTATTTTGACTATTTTCTCGATAATGCTTTCATACTTGTTTTATAGTATATATGCAAGTTTTTAAGAACCTTCGAACCGTACTTGTAGCGACACAGTGTATGAGCTGCGGTCAAGTACGCAGACGACGTCGCGATATGTAACCATATTTTCCTAGAGTACCACATATAGCAACACTGTGTCAGGCTACAAGTATGCGACGTCGTCGACTCTAGGAGGACGAGGGCAGAGGGTATCACAATGAAAACGATGGTTTATAATGGTTACATATATTGGAATGATACTGACTGAGAAGAGTGGCGAAGCCGACGCTTAACGTCTTCGATGAAGTAAAAAGCGTTCCACATTTTTTTTA